ACATCTTTTACAGATGTAAGGACAATGAATAATATTTTAGACTATCAGTATAGTGAAGTATGCTGTGAGATTTTGTACAGGGGCTGCATCTTTCATTAGAATGGAGTTTAAAGTTTGCTTTCTGGGGGAGAGGAGAAAGGGAAGTAAAATATAGTTAAGATTTTTCAGTTATCTCATACCCATGAAGTTGGAGGATATGGTTACAAATGAGATGGTGAAGTAACAGCTTGATGCAGCTGAGAGAGGAGTTTCTGCTCCCATCTCTAACCTCGTGCCAGACCTGGTGATCATCAGACCCCTCCAGAAGCCATTTAACTTCTCTAATATGGCCATGTTATTGAGTTAAAGCAGCTCACAGAAGGGTCTGACAAATTCCAGAGCCAGTGTTGAGGGATAGATGTGACTGGGAGCAAAGGAGGGAAGGGATGAGTACATGACAAGGGAGTAGCGGGGAGAGAGACCTCTCCTTGTCATTGTCAGCCAGCTGTTTTGCTGTCTGTCAAGCTTCTGAGAGCTGGGAAGTGTATTCTGTCCTCTCTTGTAACATCAGTTGCATCAAAACTCTGTTAACGATGTCTTACCATGCCTGCAACATAAACACTGGCACTCCAGCCTTTCAGGTGCTTCAGGAGATTGCAACAATAGCAAGAACTTCACAGGACAAAAATAAACGTAAAAGTGATGTTAGGCAGAACTCCCTGTGCTTGATTTAGATGGGTTAGACCAGAGTTTACCAGAACAGCCTCTTTCTGCTTTGAGCAGACTGTACAGCAATGTTGTTATTCTAATGAGGTGAGGAAATTAAAAACAAAAAACAAAAAACCAAGCATGGTGTTCCATGGTGCGTGTGCTGCTCCTGTTGTGTCATGTCATTAAGGCTTCATTCTTTGTTTGCAAATCCCTCCACTATTGAATACAGCTGCACATAGTGAGTTAATTTTGTACTGCCTGGGAAAGTAAGTTTTTGGAATTTCCAATTTGTGTAGCTGGGAAGGGAGCTTTTGTGGGTTTGGATCCTGCTTTCTGCTGAAGCAAGGATTGTGTTGAGTTCCCTGGCTTTGCACAGGAGATCTTGGATAAACAATTACATTTAGAAAGGAGAAGTGTCTTTCTTTTCCTTCCAGGAGGAGTGCCTGTAAACATAGGAAATAAGCATACTGTGGGAAGATGTCACTGTAGTTTGTTGGCTAGTGATACAGTGATGGTTGTCTCTCAAGTGCTGGTGAGGTAGATCAGGGATTGTCAAGTTTCCTATCTATATTTTGTTGGGTCCTCCTTAAATATAAATAAATATGTTACCTTTAACTTGGTACTCTGTGCTCAGACTTAGATTGCTAACCTCATGAAAGCACTTGGTTTAGGGGTATTGTCTGTAATCATTAGACTTCTGTAAATAGTAGAGAGGCTGAGAATTTCAGTGCTATGGAGTGTGAGGATCCAGTGAACTATTTTCATCAGTTACAAGCACATGTTAACATCTGCCGTGCAAACGATCAGACGCAGTGACTGTCCTTAAAAAGTCACAGTTAAAGGGAATCATAATTTACAATGGCTTTTTTTGGTATTGGGTAGAAGGCTTTGTCTTCAGGATTTTCTGCCATCATATCTGATTAAGGATTGACTTTCTGCAGCTGCCTAGAATTTCATTACTGCCTTCCCAAGGACCCCAGATCTACTGACAGCCTTTCAAAGGATATGAGAATGGATTTAAAGAATTTCCTGACTCGTGCTTCTGCCATGCAGCCTCTGGAAAACAAAGCTGAGGCAATTGGATTTTGATCACCTGGATCAGACGTTGTGTAGGCCATTTTCAGTTTTTTATTATTAATGTGTCATGACACACTTCCAAACAGGATTAAATGTCTTAGCTCTGTTTTTCTGCTTTAGACTCCCTTGTGTTTTGCTTTCTTCCTTCTCTCCTCCTTGCCCTTCTTTTAAGTGACTTTTCCAACAACATACAGCAATTTCGGAATGTGCTGGTAATAGAATTCAGGGTTTGTTTATTTTGTCACTTCAAAGTACAGCCTGCCAACAAGGTTTTTTTCTTGAAGCATTCACTGCCTATTTTGAACCTGTGTTGTAGTGTATGGTCCTCACGCTATTTAGGGTAAGCAGCTTCTTTCACTTCAGATGGATGGTATAAATCTTCACAGAATTTAAATTGAAACTGGTTTAAAAATCATCCTGCTGGTTGCTAAAGTACTAAAACTACAAGCTCTGGTGATGTTGCATTTATGGTGGCACAGGTTTTCATTCACAGAACTGGAATACACTATTGCAACATGAGTTTGTCGTGGTAGAGTAGTGCCTAGCTTCTGTTGTGCTGAGGTAGTTAAGCCGAGTTCAAGACAAGGCTTTAGGGGTCAGAAGGCTATCTGACCAAGGAGCTTTCCCACGTCCCTAGAGCTTACCAAGGCACCTCTCCTAACATTCCTGGGATACATGTGCTGTGTGTCAAGCAGGTCCTGCGCTGGTGGAGGCAGGTAGTGCTGATCCAGCAGAGCTGCCTGTCCTCTTACCTTATTTATTAAGGTGATTTTTATCTCATTTTTATCTCTTGCAGATGTTGTGTTGTTGTGGAAAATAGATGTGTAGAAGAAAATACTTCTTTCAGTTTGGTTCTGAGTGTTACAAGGAACAAAACTGATTAATGAACTGGTTTTTCATCTGGAGAAATGTCTAAGCTAGATTGGATTGCTAATGGAATGGACTGATGTGTGGTCAGAGAGAGATGATCTCTATTTCTCTAATATCTAATGAAAAGTGGCTAACAGAGATTTCTTTGTTTGAGAGAAATTAACAAGTGATTTAATTATTTCTTCTGGATTCCTGTTACTTGATTTCAGCATTAGGTCTTGAATTTGTTTTCACCACTATTGCAAATGTTCAGGTGACATCTGCTAGTTTTTGAAACTCCAAATTTTGGTTTATGAAGCTTCATTTTATTGACCATCAACCAAACACAACATGTGCTGCCTCTAGCTGCTGGGCTTTTGTAGTGTGGAGCACAGCTGTAGTGAGGCAGAGTTAGAGGAGATGCGAGTCCTGTCTGAGGCTGGCTGTGTGCTTGGGGTTGCTATCAGAAATAAATGCCTCCTGTGTTGGTTCCTTTAGCTCAGCTTTTTGGATTGTCTCCTCAGCATGTCACTGTTATTGCTTTGTTGCTATGATACTGCACTTACTCATGCAATCTGCTGCAGAATATTAGAAGCTCTGAGCTGAAATGTTATGTAACTTACAAATGTTTTTACAGCTGATGCTCATTATTTTGCACAGAGGAACGATTCACGTCTTTGCTGTCGTGTGATTTGTTGATATCTGAGAGCAACAAGCATCTGCAATTTTTTCTTCAGAAGAAATGGTTCAAATATCAGAACTGCCATACAATAGTATGGGTTGTTCTTTACGAGGGAGTAATAACCACCAGCTTTCTTACAAGATCCCTGGAGCTGTTGTGCTCAGTTAATAGGACCGTCACTGTCAGATGGCAAAGGGGAAGGTGGTACAGTGTTCTGATGTTGGAACTCGTGGAATGCAGCATGCACTTGGGACTTTGCATTTAGTCCATTTTAGCAGCAACTTCTTTGCTTGCATGGAAATTAAAGGATTCTATCAGATCATTAGTGAATGTTAAAAGCATTGCTGACTGGTGGAAGTGGAAGGTGTTTTGCTGAGAAACTTCAGGAACTGACAAAATGTGTTTGAGTCACTAAACTTACAAATTTAAATCTTGCTAAGTTAGAGTAATCCTAAAACGCTAAAGAGAAGCATGAGATCTTTCTGTGTTTTGTTCAACCTTTAAAATGAGCTTAAGATTTTCAGCAGCATTACAAGGCTGCTGTTTTTTCTTCGTCTTCTTAATTTCCTTCTGATGAAGTGGCAGTGCTAAAACAAATAGTACAGGGGATGAATGAAACTAAGGGATTAGGTTGTCTGCCTGTAGATAGGTCTTGGAAGTTGTACAGGGGAAAAGCATTCCTTACTCCCAGATAAAATAGGGAGTAGATAGGGAAACAAGTGAAATCCCAGGTGACTGATAGATGAGGTGATACTATGTTGCTGGAGTGGCTGAGAAGAAGCCTGACAACTCAAGCAACTAAAAAAAAAAAACACAGACGAAGGATGCCATGGTTCTTAACATTGGCCTGGGCACTGTGACATTGATCTGATTTCTCAGTTAAAACCATGGCTGCCTTCGAACACTTACATTGTGAGGGTGTATTCTATTTGTGAAGTATACATTACTCAGTGATCTAGCTGATGTGCAGCTAGCGTGAAATGCTAATGGAGGAATTTTGCTTATCAGCTATCAGAGAAACCGCACTATCAAATGGAAAGGCCAAGTTGTAGACAAACACATTGCCCTAATAGGCCAAAAAAGCTGTAAAACCTTACATGACTAAGACTGTAATAAATTAGACCAAAAACATCAAAATTTGGGGGTAATCCTTTTGAAATATTGGAGTTGATTCTCAGGGGAAAAATTCATCACATGATATCAAAAGTATGTGAGGTATGTTGCATCAGGGTTTAAAAAAAAGAAAAGACAAAGTTCCTTCAAAGCTGATTTTACAGCTTTTAAGCAGGTTATATAATAAAGGATTAGGGAACAGAATGAGACAAATCGGATGAATGAGAGGTTAGTATGATGCACTGCTTGTGTATGTGACTTTTTGTGAGGGAGAGCTGGTACTTACTGAAGGCTATGTATTTCAAATAAAGTTAATTCACTTGTTTTCTATATATACATTTTCTACCTTGCTTTCATTTGGGATTCCATTGTATATTTCGTATACAAGTTTTGAATGATGAGCCACTGTAACATACTTAAACAGATACTTTCAGTATCTTTCTCTTTTCACAGTATTACTTAGCTTATTACTTTGCTAGTTGTACAACATACCATTCCTCAGTTAAAGATCTGACAGATTATGCAAATTTTAGTCAACTGAATTTGCTTTTATGGACTTAGGTGTTTGTTGGTTTTTTGTTTTCTATAGATGCCACCTCCAATGAACAGCAAGATCTTTTCTGTCAGAAGTTGCAGCAGTGTTGTGTGCTCTTTGACTTCATGGACTCTGTTTCAGACCTGAAAGGCAAAGAAATTAAGAGAGCAACACTGAATGAACTGGTTGAATATGTTTCAACGAATCGTGGAGTGATTGTTGAATCAGCTTATGCTGACATAGTGAAAATGGTAAGTAGAATCTGGAACTGAATGCTCTAAACTGAATAAAGTATCCTCAATGAATCAGTTTACAGATGTGATGGCATCTAACTCAGAATTGCCGTTGGTTTTTTCTGCTTATAAAATACAGTAATGTTGTTTTACCATTGTTAATGGTAACTTGGCTTACAGGATTATTTAGAAAGGCTTGTAAAAAGTAACAAAAGAAAAAAGCAACACAACTTGAATGTTTTATTTATTAGCTTAAGTACATGCTTCTAGGGTAATTAAAATGAAGGAATTGGTATACTGCAGGTGTTTACATTCTGTATATGCTTTGAAGTCATTCTCATTCAGAAAATGGAAATATTTCAGTGCTACCTTGTCCTTGTTTATTTAAGAATGTCAGTGGAACGATAGCATGAAGTCTTCTGGTAAGGATTCTTGTGGGTGCTAGTGTCAACAGAAAAGTTTATCAGTGTGACAAACTGTCTGTAAGTAGTAAATACACAGTGTGGCTGTTTGTTAGTGCTGTTTGTTAGTACTGTTTGGGCCTCAGAGAGCTGTGCAGGGTTAGCCTAAGTGGTCCGCTTGAGTTGTAAACCACAGAATGACTTGTACTGTGCAATTTCTGCAAATGGCTTGTTGAATAAGCAACAAAATATGTGGCCATTATCTGCTGACGTTGCTAGATTTTTTATACACATTTTAAAATGCTACCACTTCTATATCTGTATCTGTATTATGTGTGGAGGGAACACAACTGAAGGACTTGAAAAATGTTTCAGAATATTGCCAAAATTAATTTGTCTAGAGATTTGAACTTAAAAAATAATGTGTTGAATGCCTCTTGCATTTAGGCTAACAGTTGTCTAAACTTTGGTTAAGCTTACATATGCCCAGTGCTGACCTCAGAAGTAACTGTTAGGTTGGTAAGCAGGGCAGTTTCAAACACATGGCCTGCAACTTTTATAATTTTCTATATGCTGAAGCACTGAAATCTGCTGTTTTTTTCCCCTCAATGTTTTTTTCTTTCTTTCTGTGAGAAGCTCATGTGGAAGTAAACGTAGGAATTATACCAGTATAATCAAGGACTGAGATTGTTGAAACAGATTATCGAAACTCTGCTAATTGTTTTGGCTGTTTCACAGGATACTTGTTAAGCTTTACAAAAGATCTAGGACACTTTTTTGTGTGTGTGTATGTAGTATTGTTTTTTAAGAGACACTGTGTTTCCATACTAAATGGTTTTTACCCAAGGTCTTAGTGCTCAGAGAATGTCCACCTATTTCTTGGCTTTTTTTTTTCTTTTCCCACTGTTGGTGGCACTAAGCCTGAACCCTTTTCTATCTGTGTGTCCTCTGCAGCCTCTTGGTAGAAGAAAGAGTACACTAACTAGCCTGTCATACTTGCTGAAGGGAGAAGAGATTTTCTTTTATATTGGAGTTGTTTCCCTTTCTTGGAGATACTGTGTTAGGCTGTTCTTTTGAGGTTATTGTTGTTGTGCAAATGATTGGGCTCTGTGGATGCTTATTTTTCCTTCCAACAAATTTCCATCTCCTTTTCTTTCTTAAAATAACAGAAAATGAAGAAGGCCTTAAATGCTCAGTGAGAGCTTTTTCAGAGCTTGAGACAAAAGATCTCTCCAAGCCTGAACAGTATTCCTAGTCTCCCTGGCAACTGGCAGCAGAAAAGGTCTTTGCTATGAATTAGGACTAAGTACCAGCTTTCTGAAAGAACCCTGGTTGGGTCTGTGCCTACAAACAACATGTGTGTCAGGTTTGAGGCCTTCCTTTATAGCTTCCATGAGATTTTGAAAAAAATATGTATCTTTATTTTTACTTGTCAAGCTTTTGTTTTCAATGTTAATACATTAAAAGAAAAAGCATTTGAGTTCTTTGCAGAGTTTGAAGGATAGTGTTTTTGAGGCAAAAAGTAGAAATCAACTTTGGTGAAGTCCCACAACCACCTGACTTGTAGTAAAGGATGGACAGATCGCAGAAATTCCCTTAGAAAAGCTGGAGTGGCATCAGTGACAGAAACAGAGCTTATTTCTTTCCAAGGCCCCTTGTCTCTCTAGGCCTGGGATCACTTTCTTCCAGATTGCAAAGATTTCATTGGAATTGCCTGTGTTTTGGTGAGGCAAAGTCAGCAATCCCTTACAGATATCCAGAGCTGAGATCTGTGCAGGTGAGGTCGTCTCCTAGGAGGTCTCCTTCTCTCTCAGGAACAAAGATGCCTTTCTGTTTAGGCAGATGTGCAGGACATGTGCTGTCAATTATTATTTGGTGTCCCAGGCAGCCTGACTTTCATGTAATTCTGTTGCCGAAGTCTTCAGTTTAAGAACTGAGGAAGAATTTTGCATGCAAATAGTTTTGAAGGAGTGGTGCAGCTCCCTGCTAAGTTGTCTAAAACTAGCAGCTTCTCAGTTTGGAAATTTCTTGGTAGTACTCTGAAGATAACAGCAATTTAGAGTTTGGCATAATGAATCTTTCTAAAAGTTTAAAATCAGTGGGAGGTTTGAAAGCTCTAAAACACAGTGAGTTTGGGAGCACAGCAGGAATGTCCCTTCAGTCCCCATTTCTGCTTCATCCTCGTTTGTCTACCAACCTCCCCTCATTCTGCAGCAGCACATGGAAGTGTAACATAAATTGATTATGGATTATCCTAGCAGTGGTGTATTCAGAATTTCAAAAGGTATCACATATCTCTATCTGCATACTGAGAAATGAGAACTGAATCTGGTGGCCCTCCAGATGTTTAGCTTCCTTGGGAAGTAGTGCGAAGTAGGGGATTCTTTTCTGTTTCAGTTCAAATAATAAAAGATGCTTTATCTCAACACTTTAACTGGTACATTTTCAGAGGCCACTTTACAAAAGTTTCTGAGGTTTAGAAAGCTAATGCTGGGTTTCTGTAAAAGCTGATGGAGCTGCAAAAGCATGTAGCACTCTGTTAAGATTTGTGTGTTTAAAATCACTGTTTTGGGATAATACCCATCCCCTGCTTAGGAATGAAAAGGGCTGTTCTAAATAATACGAGAGGTTGTTATTCTTCTACTACAGAGATATGTTTGGTAATTGGTACTCTGTTCTAGCCTCAAAATTGTTGTATTCTGTGTGGAAACAAGCTCTGTGCTAAAGGGTTCAGTCCGGCAAGATGCATCTAGAAATAAAAAGGTGCATTTTCAAGAGACGTTACCAGAAGTCTTGCAGGCAGATATAGGTGAGCCTTGGTAGGGATTGATTTATATTTAAATGTTTTTCATGGTTACCTTCTTGCATACCTGGTAAGAGTAGTCATTGTCAAGTAACAGAACCAAGTCTTGGTTTTTGGGTTTGATTAAAATTCCCATTCTCTCAGGCTCCCATTTTCTCCCTCCCCAGTTTTCTCCCTCCAGCCAATTTTGTTCATGTCCCTTATGTTTACAACACCACACAACAAACTGCAGTGTGAGCTAGGAGATGGTGCTCTAATGCCCATCCATACAGAACATCACTGACCTTCTAGTCTAGAGCAGCAGTGTCTGCAGCTTTAATGTGTGCCAGCAGGAGACAGTGACAGGGAATGGAATGAAGGGCATAGGAGGAATTCAGAAGTCAGCGCATGCAACAGCTTTGTATTTTGTTTAATGAAGCAGCTGATTTTTCTGTGCAGAGCCAACTGGGTGACTTCTGGATCTTTTTATGTCCTTTTGCAAGATCCTTCAAACACCTTGGAGACTCCATGGAAGCTGTGCAGTAGCATTTGCTGCAAATTGTCAAACATTCTTTCTTTTGTGTTTAGTAGGGTTGGGTGGATAGCAGCTATTTGAAACAGATTTGATTGAAAAGGCTAATGAGTTTGAAATTTAATTGGAAAAATTGGGCTAAATGTGTTCCTGAGAGAACAGTGGAAAATGCAGAAAAGAAATTAATTTCATGTTCTCTATTGTTCATGTTAAAATGATTTAAAATCTGATGTGTTGCATTTGGCAGATGACATGACATTTATTTTTCTTTTGACATCTGAAAGATGGGTCCTCTATCCAGACTTGTATATAGTTGAAAAACCTCCTTTTTAATCTGCTCTCTTGAAATTGATTTGACGTGACTGGGTCGTACTTAAAGTAACTCGGTAGCCATTTTTGCTAGTTTTTCCAAGTTCCTCTGTGCTAGATCAAAAGGTTACAATTGTTAGGTGTGCTTGACTTCCCAAAACCTTGAAATATCTTGAAATTATGAAAGGTAAAAAGCTGTAAGCGGTTCTTACATTTTTTCTTACAAGTGAAGAACATCTTGAAAAATAGTTCACAAGTCTAAAGCCAGATACATTTTTGAGATTGTCTGCCTTCCACGTGAAAAGAACTGTGTCTGACTCATAATCAGTCATGTTGTATTTCATGCCTGATACAAAGCTTCAGCTTGTGGCATCATGTAGTTAAAAACCAGGCTTCAGAGGGAGGAAGCAGAAATTTTCTTTGACTAGTTTTGAAGAAAAAATGTAGGTATGCCCATATCTAGCTGCAAATGTATACAATAATGAAGCCATCAGTTACTTCCTTAGTATTTTCATTGGCCTTTGGAAAATGTAAAGAAAAAGTCAGGTTGTTGTTGGTTCTTTTTTTTTTTTAAGCTGCTTTGTGTAATTTTAAAATAAAAGCAGTACGTTACTCTGTGTGGTCTGTGGAAGCAAAGAAACAATTCCATTAACATGTATTTTTTCTATTACAGATTAGTTCTAATATTTTCAGAACACTTCCACCTAGCGATAACCCAGATTTTGATCCAGAAGAAGATGAGCCAACTCTTGAGGCCTCGTGGCCCCACATACAGGTACGGGATTCCTTTATTGTCAAGCCTTCTTGTAAGGCATGAACTGATCTGAGATATCTGAGTAATTTTGTACCTTTGGTATGAAAGTCAGAATTGATTTTATAAGAATATAACTGAATTTCTGTGCTTGGAAGAGGGAAAAAAAGTGAGGCTTTTCTTACTTGTATGAATATGGAAAAACATAAGCGTTCCAAATTGTCTAAATTCTCTTTCTTGTTTTGAGTGATTTGTAGTGTTGAAGTGTGTGTGTATCTATACGTCTTTAAAATGTATCGATGTTCTGGGTAATTATGTTCTTTATTTAGGAGGTTTGTTTTCTGCACTTGATGAATTTTTCTATGGTTTCAATAAAATATAAGTGAACGCTAACAATTCAGTTTCTTGTCACAGTAACAAAAACAGCAATAGCTTTTATTTGTCTTCTGAGCAAGAAATAGATATCTCTTCATTCTTCCCTCCCTCTGTTCAAGAACTTTACAATATAGGCATTGTTGTTTGCTAACAGTAGGTTAGTTATTCTATTGTTGCTCTCCTCTACCAATCTTGTGATTTTATAGCATCGCTGTATCAATGACATGATTTACTTGTGCTACTGCTGATTTTTTCTCAATTATCAGTTAAAAGTTGAACAGTCCTAAATCACTTGTCATCATCCAAGTTCTCAGGTTATCATCCAAGGTACTCAGTTATGTAGCAACTTGTAATAGAGAGTAGAAGATTAATAGTTGCTAAGTATCTGTATGCCATCTGCTCCCCTCTGTCCTTAAAATACTGCATGAAGATATAATACTTTATGTCCTTACGAGGGGCATGCGAATCCCTGTGCAGTGGGGAGTTGCACAAAGGCTATGCAAATATCTCCTAAAGTCTGTAGAGGCATCATTTGACTTCCAAATGCTCCTGTCTCCCAGGAATAAAATTTGTAAATGTTTGCTCAGTTCACTTTAGGACATGACTGAACTGTGGTTCTTACAGGAAAAAAAACTTGTGGTATCTGTGGCCATTTCACTTTGCGCTTTAGGCTCATCTATGGGAAAGTGGAAGAGCTCTGTGTTGTTGTATCGTTTGAAATTTTACTTTTGACTTTTTCTTTTGCCCTTTTCTAAATGAGTGTTGGCCAGGCTATCTGATTACTGATAGTGGATTTCCTGCTCCTGCAGTCAATCATCCTGGTCCTTGGAATAAATTTGCTCAGTGCAGCACAATGGAAATAGTTTGTTTTTTCTCCCCTTTAGCTCTTCTTGAGTTCTCCACCCTTTACCTAGATGGTAGAACTCAAAATTGTTGTCTGTCACATAGCCAGTTTTTTCTGGGAGGGAAAAGAAAAAAAAAAAATCTGACTCTACTGTTCTCTGTTCTGATGAATGTGTTATTTCACTTTAACATAACGTTACAGTTAATAGCTTAGTAAGTTACCAGCAACATGTGTAGCCACTACAAAAGACTGTAGACCTTCAGTAAAAACTAGAGTCACTTGAAAGACATAGCTTTAAAGTTACACTCAAGGTGGTTTGTAAAAACCAGACTAGATTGAACAAGCTGGCATTAGAACCACCCTGTGTTGCTGGGCTTAGTGAGCTGTAAGTAGATGGTGGAATTGTTAGCTCAAAGCAGTAGTATTCTAGTGGTCTCTGCAATAATGAACAGTGAATCATCAAAACATAGTAGGCATTATTTGTCCTTTTATTCAAACAGACTGATTTGGAGAATTGAAACTACCAAAGCCAACAATTCTCCCCATGATTTAGTATTCCTAGTGGTAACACTTCAGTTGTGCTCAGGAAGATTAAACATACCTGTCTGTTTATTTGGTTGGTTTGGATTTTTTTTTCCCCAAGGTTTGGATTTTTTTTTCCCAACTAGTGTCTGTTGTGTTTAGAACCCATCCTTGTTCCCCTTGCTGATACTTAGGATTGTGCCTCTGTTTTCAAGCACAAGTGTAGGGGAGAAGTAAGAGGCTGAGTTATTCAGAAATGGCCATTACAGCTTGGGACACCATGGATAAAGTTTTCTAAATTTCCCAAGGTTCCCAAGGAATCCCAAAGTTTCTTGCTACCTTTTACTATCTGTACATTTTTAAGTGTGGCTTCCATAGCTGTATGTGGATTTTTGAGCATTAAATGTTTATTTTTCTGAAAGCTCCTCTCTTTAAGAACAGTAGCAACAATGGTGGTTCTGGAGTTGCCTGGATTACACAGAGCATTCACATGGTAACTCATTGATCTTCTCTGTACTAGAAATGAGATATGCCATGTCATCAGATATTGAGAATCTGGCATCAATATGGGTTTAGTCTATGACTCTGCTAGAGCATTATGCTTTAGCCTCATTCTTCTGCTGGATGTTTATCCCAGTTCCCATATCTATTTATGGAAAAAAGCCATAATTGTCCTCCCTCCCTGCCTTCCTTTAGGGTAAACAAAACAGACCTATTTAGTCTTGGCTCATAACAATTGGTACTCTGGCCCTTGGCTGTTCTACTGGCTCCTCTGTATCCTTTCAGATCTGAATATGTTTTCTCCAGCATGTGCATGTAGGTACAGCACATCTCTCTCTGTTCTGTCATGATCTTACTAGAAAATCCCAGGATTTTGTTTGTCATTGCTGTGGCTTTGCTGTCTAGCTGGGGAACTTTGTCATCCTAGCATTCAGAACCAGTATCCAATCCTTCTTTTCTCACCTTCAAAGCTTGCTGTTTCTTAGTAGAGCTCTTTCTTATCTCTGTAACTGACTTCACAGTCATTTAGTTTCATCCTCTATCTGTCTTGTCCCTTTCTTACTATAACCTGATGTTCTTTATTATTATTTTTTTTTTTAAGTCAGGCAATAGCTTCCAATGTTGTGGCTTCATTCCAGCGTCTTTCATATAACTATTCTTGTTGTGTTTGCTGATGGAAATATATAATATACGAAGTCATTACTTAATGAAATTTAATTCCAGCATGAATTCCCATGATACTCTGTTAATCTCCCTCCAGTCATGTTTCCCATTTCAGTACAAACCACTGAAACATTTATCTAATTTCTAGCTTGAAAGAGATGAGTAGCCATGGGTTAGTAACTCTTCCTAGTGGAAATTGTTGAAATACATGCCTTTATATGTTACTTCTGTGTAGGTTTTATTCCTCAGTCCAGGCAGTATATTTGTATTTTTCTGAAGTGTGCTTTAGTACTATCGCTTACTATTTAACTATTCCTGAGCTTAGAAATAAGCATTGAAAACATGAGAAGCCCTGAATGCAGCTAATCTGAAGACATCTTTCCTCTCAGTTCTGCCTTGCTTAAGAGATGCCTGAGGTGTATTTTATAAATCAGAAGGTTGCATGTGTCCTCCCCCACCTGCCACTGTTATGGATACACACGGTTGTTTGTCTTGGACTTGTGATGAATCCAATAGTATGGGATTTGTGCTCTGCCATGTTTGTGCCTTGCTCTGCTGCCTCAGGCCTGTGCTGCCTCCATCTCCTCTCTGTCTGTGGGCCTTATGGGATCATAGTGAAGGGGGACTTGAAGTCAATAGAAAGAATATACTACAAAATATGCAGGATATTGAAGGTAAATCTGCAGAAGGTCTTATTGTTTGAATGGAATGCCCAGAGTATAGAAATGTAATGCTGTGCCAAGCACTAAAGTTTGTGTGTATTCCTTCAGCTTTTCCAATATGACCATTTTTTGGAGCTGTAAGCTCCATTTTTGGAGCTTAAATCTGAAACCTGACTTCAGGAGCGCTTAGCAAATATTTCTGAATCTGGTTTTATGGAATTAAGTACTGATAGAGCACTTAATTTTACCCTCAGTGTTGATGAGTGTTTGATAACTTATTTCTACATAATGCATTCTTAATGTAGTAGGAAATGCGAATTTGTGTAATACTTCTACTTTATTTCTGTTGTAAAGTGGTATTTTCACTTATTTATTTGTTAAGCTTAGAATCTTCTGAGAATTAAAATGCTCTTGGTGCTTACAGTAAATTGCACTAGAGGCCATGATGGTTTTCATTTGTAAAAGTTAATTATGTGAATAGTCCGGATAGGGATAAGATCCATAGGATGGTGTACTTATTAACTTGTTCAAAATTCTCACTTTCATGTTTGTAGTTGGTGTATGAATTTTTCCTAAGATTTTTGGAAAGCCCGGATTTTCAGCCTAGCATTGCAAAGAGATTCATTGACCAGAAATTTGTACAGCAGGTAAGTAGACAGGTTTCCTACCTCAAAGTTAAAGATTGCCTCTCAGGCTTAACTGCTGGTTGTTCAGCTGAGGAGATACTAAAGCTTTCACTTTGACAGAGGGTTCAATTCTAGTTGTTTCAACAGTGATTTCTGCCAAGCAGTGCCTGCTGCATAGGGAATAATTAGTAATTAGCAACTTCAGAAACACTTTGTTTTCAGATATTAGCCTCTTTCTTTGCAATGCAGGAGTTTTATTTTTTGTTAATGCAAGTTGTGTTTTTAATGATTTGTAATTTCCCTTCAGTCAGATCAACAGCGTGCCAATGACACTGTTGTAGTGCTTTGATGTTTGTTTTCTTCATAGAGATTTACGATGGGAAATCTTACAGCAAAATTGTTTTTCCTATGAATAAGTAATTTAATGTACATGAAATGTGTTCCAACATGTGCTGAGTTATTACTGGATGGTGTCATTCTCATATTGTGGTGTATTATATGCAGAAGGAAAATTAAATGAGAAAGCTCATGAGAAAATAGTGCAAAGTTGTTTCATTGTACAAAGTTTCTATGAAGAAAAGTGAAGTAGGACATCACACCTCACCTGTCAAGGCATTAGGCTGTATGATACGGTAACAGTTCTTGTCCAAGGTTACCTCACTGGATTTTTACCGTGCCAAAATGCTCATTTTTCAAAGCTTGTGTGTGAATAGGCTGCCACAGTACAGCAGTGAGAAGTGAAAACGTAGATGAATGCTTCCACTTGCTGCCTTCAGTGACTGTTTATGTGCCTGCTTCTCTGGGTTTACCCTTCTTGTTTGTAGGTGTTCCCTTCTTCTCTATTTTGTTTGACTTTCAAACAAAATTCAAACGTGAAGCTGCTGCTGAACTATTGGCCGTGCCTGTCCAATTCCCTGACTGGACAACAGTTTTTAAGAGCTATGTTGCAGTATTTCAGCTCCTGATGTTTCACAAGGTCTTTCTCTAGAGTATAATAAAGATGGTGCAAAGCACACCATGCTGTTTGCGGGGAGAAAGTGCAGTAGTGACCCTGAGAAATTCCTTCTGAATGTAGACACGAAATGAGCAAAGTTGTCATACAGCAGTTCCCAGTTCCTGCTGCTGCTTGGTGTAGATGTTTGTGAGCTTGCAGATCTGGACTAAGCAGGAGGCTGTAGTGATTGCTGGAGCTAAGTTACTGTTGGGAGGGAAAAGGTATTAACAAAACCAAACAGGGCGGGGGAAATACTGCCATTAGAGTCAGACAGAAATGAAGAAACTTGTACTTGCTGATTTCCCTCCCTTCCCCAGCTCATTTTTAATGCATTTGCATTCTGTTAAACATCTGTCTCCCTCTCTGTCCCCCGAGGAAATGTGCATGATTCTTATCATGGACTTATCTTACAAAATGATTCTGCAGAGGATTATGCTTGTGTTTAACCTTGAAGGCATGAGTAGTGTATTGAAATCGGTAGAACAAGATCTTAATTAAGAAATCATAAATGTATGACACAAATTTGCTTCATTCTAATTTCTTGAAGACCAAGTAAAAACCACTTACCCCAAATTTGATAATACCATTCTTAAAATTTCATTGTTGTTTTGATAGAGTAGTGGTTGGAATGGCTTTGTTGATGTCTGTTGTATGCAGACTTTTTAATACAAAGGAAATGAAACTGCTGGTTGTACTTAAATCAGCTTTATTTGAAATCTAGTTTTGAAAATAACATTGGATATCCAAATAAAATATTGAGTCAAATCGATTCTGTTTTTCCTAATGCAGACTTTGTAAGTTAAAGATCAAGCTCAACTCGATTAGGAACCTGACAAAATGTAAGTCTTACGAAAGTAATAAATTTCAATTTAATTTTTGAAGTTACTGGAGCTCTTTGACAGTGAAGACCCACGAGAACGTGATTTCCTAAAGACAGTTCTTCATCGAATTTATGGCAAATTCCTTGGTTTAAGAGCATTCATCAGGAAACAGATCAATAACATTTTCCTCAGGTATGCTCTGTCTGTATGTCTGCCCAGGTTGAGCAATGTTCTGTTTTCCCTTCGTAGTCTGTGACTGCAGAGATTTGTTCTTGCACTGAAAGAGCTGGGTTTGATCTGTGATTGCCTTTCAAATATCTAGAACTTACTGAAGATTATTTACTTGGAACCTGCTTCCATTTTTTGTCTTTTTTCATAATAGGTTTATATATGAAACAGAGCACTTCAATGGTGTTGCTGAACTTCTTGAGATATTAGGAAGGTAAGTTTGAGCGGACAAAAGATACAAAATGTTATTGTGGACAGTGCTTGCTTCAGTTTCCCCGCTTTGGGAATGGGAAGAGTATTACAGTAATGAGTGATGAAGTGCAGCCACTGATATAATTGAATACTGTCTGGTTTACCATGTGAATCTAATTAGGATATAGAGTCTAATATTTATTTCTCAGGAGTCCTCACTTGTTGAAGAATATATCCAATAAAGTACCGATTCTTTGGTTTGGAAAATGAATGTTAACTTCAGCTCTCAAGTTGAATACAATGCTTTAACCTTCAGCAGGCTGATTTTTGTTTAAAGTGTGTTCAGAAAAAGCCTTGAAAGTATCTTAATTACCATTTTTGTCACTAATTCAGCAATTTAATTTTTACTTTGAAAGCTGTTTGTGGTATCTTTTCAATAATTTTCCAAAACTGACACAGATACATTTCATGGTAGAAAACTATAAACACAAGTGGCTTAACAGACTGTGAAAGTATCGTGGAATCAATCATGAAAACCAAGCAAATGGGATTCCATTTGATCAGATTTATCTGAAACAAAACCTAACGTCTTCCTGAAGGACTGTCATTTGTTCCATGGCTGGCTCTTAGGACAAGGTTATTGAATCAATGACCACTTGGAAGCTTTACTTTTAGGGGGAAAACTCAAAACCTATTTTCAAACTGTGCTATTGTAATAATTAAAAAATTATATGCCATCTATTTTGTTCCTCTGCAAGTTGTGTTTAAGTGATTCTGCATGAAATGGATCAGCTTCCTGATGTGTATGAGCTTTATCATTACCCAGCAACTTACTTTATATTATTTTAACTAGAGGAGGTGATGGTGAAAGTCCTCTCATGAGTGTTAGTGGGCTTCCACTCTGCTTCTCTCATATGCCTGCCAAGATGTCAAACCTTTAGAGGCTGTACATATCTGAAGTTATTTTATGGCTTCGTAATTACCAGGGTTAGAAATGGAATCAGAAATGGAATGTCTGCTGAATGTACAGGAATTCTTTACTTCTTGCTAGGAAAATCTTTTGTTTTGATTTTTTTAATAAAAATAAATCCTGCTTATTCACGTTTTCAGTATTATCAATGGTTTTGCACTGCCACTGAAAGCGGAACACAAACAGTTCCTTATGAAAGTTCTGATTCCCATGCATACTGCAAAGGGATTAGCTTTGTTTCACGCACAGGTAAGCTCTCACCTATTTTTAAGAGTAGTGGTTTTCTTTGTATTTGCATTTGAAGCTAATGAAAGTTAAACGGCGTGTGTTAGAATAATGTTGACATTTTGAGGTATTTGTAAACATATTTTTTAAGACCTTGCAGATCTTGTTTATAAATGTTAATTTTGACATATTGCTTAGCATGTATTAAAAGTGAAGGGATGTAACAGTGATTTGAACTCTCATCAGCTGAAGTGGGAAGCTTTTTGGTTTGGCAGTCTGTCACACTCCAAGCTTCATTTAATCCTAGGCCCCTGTTGTGTTCTCTTGTCACTTTCTTCATGTAACCTACATGCTGTGTATCAAGGAACCCTGAGTATGGCTGGTGCTTATTTCAGAAGTGCTTCTTTATTTCCAAAACCTTTCAGTGATTATGAGGGGGGGAAGGGCATTGGGTAGAAATGGCAGAAACGCATAATAGCTGTCTGGCTCAGCTAGAAATTATGTAGATCCATGACATGCTGTCAGAATGCAGCAGTTATTCATCTGACTTCCATTCTTATGCTTAGTGTGGCTGTTCATCATCTTATTGGAGGAATAATGTGTATTATAGCCAGACATATGGCACTTGAGCATTGAATACATTTGATGTAAACTTACAAGTAATTCAGCTTGACTAATTAAAAAATAGCTTTGTTAACTTAGTCTGCCAGCTAATACAGTTCCTTTATAGACAAAACAAGGAAATGAGTTTCTAATTAAAGCAAAATCATTATGACTACATAGACTACACACAGGACCAAGTTGAGAGAGCAGTTAAAACTGTATTTGAGAATTAGGAATGAATTAGATCACTTGTCTTTGTGGTTTATTACAGTGTGATAGGCTGCCACGTGAAATGAAGGAACCTGCCATGTGCCAAAAGTATTCTCCTTGATAGATCAGTGCAGCAAGCTGCCCTTTTTCTGTGATGTTTAATCACATCCACTGGTACCTGAAAGGATGCTCTAAACTCAGCTGTACTGGATACTGAGAAGCAGCATTTGGTTTGTTGAGCAGGCTACTTGCCTATCCCGTCACAAACCACTAGTGCTATGTACCAAAACAGCACTTGGAAATGAGGGAGCAGTCCCATTGCTCTGTTTCTGCAGCACGAGGAGCCTGCCCTGAAAAGATGAAGACTTAAAGCTGGCTTAAGTTTGAACCTTTGTGTCTTTGAACAGTGGATAAGTGGCACAGTAATGCTGTAGTGGCGATTTATGAAGTCTGTGTGTGCCATACTGTTTTTTGAATCCACACACACACACATATCTTTATCCTTACGGGTAGCAGCAGTAAGTTAGGCTTGTTGTAATGACCTGTTTTAGGATAACAGATTAAAAAAGAAAAAAGATAATTCTTGATTTCAGGTTTGGCAATACACATGTAATGCAAAGGAATAATTTTGTATCTGGGTCATATTGTGAGATGAAGCATACAGTGATTTCTCAAAATCGGTCTGGATACATAGCAGAGCCATGGTTGTTTTGTCACTTAACTGTGTGCTGAGTAATTAAACAGTATGTAAATAAGTAAATATAGAATGTACTGTATCACTCCTCAGGCCTTTGGGCAGCGATCACTGAGGTGGGGGAGAACACAGTTTTTGGAGTTTTATCCTTTCTTTTCTTATTTTCTTTTTTCATGCTCTGAAGTGCTCTCATTATAAGCCGTGCTATTTAGTTATGCTGCAGTGTCTAACCAGTGTCTGTTTAAATAATTCTGTGACTTATATTCTAGCTCGCCTATTGTGTTGTACAGTTCCTGGAGAAAGATACAACTTTAACAGAGCCTGTAAGTGTTTTTCAGTTGCATGTTTTTCTGGCTTTAATTTCAACTTAGTATTTCAGTGCAGTTCACTGGAATTGCAGAGCAGTGCTATCTGATATCTTGATTATGATCCATAGGTGTTTTTTAGGAGGGAAAAAAATGTAGGAGAAAGTCCTGAGTTTGAAAGTGCAGTTATCTCTTAGCATGCATCCAAGATGAAATTGAAATAAAAGTTTGAACCACTGAGATCACATAAATAATCTCATATGAGAATGCATGTTCCTTCCTGGTAAGAGCTGAAATTTCAGTAATAGTGATGTGATGGCTTGTGCCTAGCATAAATCAAAAATATTTCAGGGAATACACTGTCCCAAAATGGAAGTGAGAAAGAGTAACTACACTTTAATGAGACAGAAAGGACGCTGACATTCCAAATGTGACGTTTGTCTTTTTGGTTCCTGGGACAGCTCTTGGCAGCTGCAGTAGAGGTGCTTTGGGCATCAGTGGCTTCTGCCAGACTGCATCTCCTGCGGCACACACAGCCTGTCCAGCCCCAAAGGGAATGGCAGTGCTTCCTGCAGGCAGCCTGGCTGTGCCCATACAGAGTGCAGGCACTGCTGCAGCTCCTGGGGAAACAGAGCAGCACTGCAGCACCCGGGACAGAAATAGTTTGGTCAGCAATTGGAAATCCTTCCATTAAGGAGATGTTGGAAATTTAAATACTTTGGTTATTAATGTGAACTTACAGTAAAATTGCCTTTTATAAAGGAAAAGTTAATATATGGTAGTAAGTGGAGATGTAAGAAACTTGAAGCGCTCAAAATGTAAATGTCAAAACTCAACAGAGCAACTGATGAAATAGCATACGGATTTCTGTTTGGCTGTAGGTGAAGTAGTATTTTAAGAAGTCCATCAGAAGGCTTCATGAGTACCTCCCTGTTATTTTTCTGGCAGGAATTGTCTCTCGGGGTCAGTGCAGAGGACGTGCGTTCCGAGCTCATGTAGCTATGGTAGTGTGCCTTAGGTCGGTCTTGATGTTTGCAGAGCTGACAGGAGCTCATTACCTAACCCTGCTGAGTGCCACAGCCTTTACATGGATGGAATTTCATTTCATGAGAATCAGGCTGAATGTGCAGGCCTTGTACAGAAGTTGTCTAGCAGGTGCCTGCTGGTGTAAGTCAGCTTTATAGGAACCTTGTAGCCTTGGGAGGAATATTAACATGTGTATTTTGTGCTGTGAGAACAGTATGACTTCAGATCTACATTTGTGCAGTTCTTGGAAAAAAAGGCTTTGAACTTACATATGCATGTATCAGCTTCTCAGTGCAAGAGTGTGGTCAAGCTGGAAACTGAAACTCTAAAGAGCAAGGAGTAGGTATTTTGTAGAGGCTTGCACTTTGTAGCAGGAACATATTTTTTCTTTTGTCAAGTTGAGAACGTGAGTCCATGTAGTGAAGTATATTCAGCACTCATTGCTCACTGCTGGAAACCGGACTATTGCAGCTGACCCAGCTCTGTGCCTCCAGTATCAGTATATTCATGCTCCAGGTTACAGAAATGTATGTTAGGTTTTAGTAGCTTTTCTTTGGAAGATATACCCATCTGAAATTCTTTTGGCTTTCTGGTGTTGTCTGGGGGAAGGGAAGATGCTGGCAGACTATACATGTTCCGACTTGTTCTTTGAAAATATAAAGTATGAAGTCCTCATTTGCTGAATTTCATCTGAAGTGACAGCCAGTCTTCTAGTTTGCATATCCCAGGATAAAATTTGGTGAACACCTAACATCATTTACTTACTGTCAGCATGTCACCTGTGACAGTATGCACAGCTGTGAACCAAACAGCCGGCTGGGAAGATTGGAGGAAAAAAACATGGGAAAATTGCAATATGGAAGGCATTCACATGGTAGGCTAAGTTCTACAGTTGGGTATGATTTGTTAGGTGCTGCTATACCATAAATGCTGAGGTCTTTCCTCAGAATGAAATTTCACAGTGCATGAAGAAGGTTTCTGTGTCTGAAAGGCACAGCTGGGGCTTTCTACAGCCAGTGTTAGTTCTGCAGGTTGGTGCTGGGTCAGGTGTCTGTTCTGGGGAATGGCACTGCTACTCTTTTTGGTGGTGGTGGTTTCCCTCCTCTTCTGCCCTCTTAGGGGCTGTGCTTTCCAATTACATTTTCCAAAGGGTTTTTCCAGTCTTACATGAGATGTATTTCAGTATCTACACTGGAAACCATTCTCTTTGTAAGTTCTCATCATTTCTAGTTTCCAGCCTTTGACACTTCAAATCACAGAAGAAAAAAGAGTGTGGTGGAGACCAGGCCTCCTCTGTTTGCCACTTGTGCAGTCTGTGTGCTTCTTTCTCTTGGCCTGCAGAACCCCACTGGGTGCAGTGCTCTGCAGTGTGTGGGTCACGAGGGAACAAGTATTGGCAATCTGCCTACAGGGAAATGAGCTTCGTTTTGGGATGCTTTGATGATATCAGCATGCTATCAGCTAGTGTACATAGTGTGGTGGGAGCGGATAACCAAAGCAAGATGAATATTTAAATGAGACAAAGTATTTATTTTCATGCAATTGCTTATAGCCTTATTCAGTTTTTATTGATGTTCTGGAGAGGGAGGAACAGCCTTGTTTTTTTTCCTCCTCCATCTTATCAAATATGTAACAGAAACGTGCTCTGGTCTAACTTGTTTGTGTTTCTCATACAGGTAATCAGAGGACTGCTCAAATTTTGGCCCAAAACTTGCAGTCAGAAAGAGGTTGGTTTTGTCTTCTCTCTTCTGTTTCTTGTCTGTTGTGATGCAAACTGCATCATGGCAGGGTTGTGCTCCCCATCTCTGCTGCACTTCTCAAGAGATCTTGCAACAAACATGCAATGCTTGAAACTTTATAAAGGGTGCTCATTTTTGTCGTGCTATCAGTGCAGTTTTTTGGCATGCCAGTTGTCACTGTGATGCTGATATATTAAAACTGTGCTAGAGGTTCATTCTAATTAAGACACTGTATAGAGAAAAAGGTTTTTGAGGTAAGAAGTACTGTAGTGTGGTCACACAATGTTGGAGGCAGTCATCTGTACCACAGCCCAGAGGTAGCCACAGAGATGCTGAATAGAACTCTGGTGAAGTGTGCATACATCTTTTCCACAGGATGAAAACAACTGTTAATGGTCTGGGGAAATTGTTTTTTTCTGGCTGGCTTTTCTTCTCTGTAATTCAAATGAGCACAGTCAGGAGTTGGACTTATGCCCCCCCAGCTCACCTTTGCTGGTGCCTGACAGCGGGGCCCTTCAGAGCTGCTGTCCATTCAGTTGCTTGGCATTGAATTTTTCCAGGCCACCTGCCTGCTGTCCTGCTGGCTCTAGGTTGAAACTATTAACTACTGGCCATTCAGCAGCTAGTCGGCAGATCTCAAAGGTAACCTCTGCAGATACTTTGGAAGTAAAATGTTGCAGCTTTTTTTTTTTTTCTTTTAACTGTGAAGAACATTCTGCAGAAGCAGCTCATTTAGGTGCCAGAGCAGTCACACAACGGAAGAGCCTGAGGCTCTGTAATGACATGCACTGCTCTGTGCATGTTCTCATGTTTAAGCCATGTTTTGTTTCTGTTTACTCTGTTGATATAAAACATTCTCATAGTTGTTGATGTATCTCTTTTTTACAACAGGTAATGTTTTTAGGTGAAATTGAAGAAATCTTAGATGTAATAGAGCCGACACAATTCAAAAAAATAGAAGAGCCTTTATTTAAGCAAATTTCCAAGTGTGTGTCAAGTTCACATTTTCAGGTAAAAAAAAAGAAAATCACAAAACAAAAACCCATCAAAAATCACCCACAGTAGTTTGTTTACTGGTTGTTGACTCCTAACCTTTGCATTTCAGGTTGCAGAAAGAGCTTTGTATTTTTGGAATAATGAATATATTCTTAGTCTGATCGAGGAGAACATTGATAAAATTCTACCAATTATGTTTGGTAGTTTATACAAGATCTCCAAAGAACACTGGAACCCGTAAGTAATGTTTAACTTTCTGCAGTTCTGGAAGTGCCTGCTATTTCCAGTTGAGATCATAACCTTGTAAATAAGTCTTCATTTTAACTTAGATGAAATCTGCTAAAATGGACATCATTTTCAGCAGTATCGTGGCTTTCATTGTTCTGCATTATGATGGAGAACTGGAATTTACTCAGAAAGTGAGGGAACTGGATGGCAGTTGTGATTTCTAATGACATTTGTGTTGGTTATTTAATTTCCTATTTAGTTGTTTTTTTCCATGTTTGCAAGACAAAGTAATGATGCTGAAATACTAAAAAAAAGCCAAGTTTGGCTGTGCTCAGCACCCTAAACTGAGTCAATCAGTAGAACATAGAAAGCTTTTTACAGGCAGAAACCCAGGTAGGCGGGAGCCTTCTGCAGTCTAAGCAGATCAGACACCTGTTAAGAGCCCATAGAGACTGAAGTTACTCTGAATGTCTCCAGGTGGTGTGTGTCAGTGCAAACCTACCAGCTGAGCCTGAGTGTAACTACAGGAGACCTGATTCTTGGAGCCTTAGTAGTGCCTGCGGGCCTCAACAAATCCGAATGGTGTCCCTCTTCCTCTAGCTGCAGACAGAAGGTGCTCTTTACTTTAGGAAGGGCACAAAAGACATAAGTTAATTGTATACTGTGAAAAGCAGGAAGTTCAGGAAGCAAGTACAGCCCTGTGCTTTTAATCTGATTTGAAAGACAAAGAAGCTTATTTACATCCATCTACCTGTCTAGTGTGGTCTTAATTATTCACTTAGGATCAGGCTTTTCCTCTCAGAAAACCAATAACCTAAGTAAGCTTTTGTCTTCAAACCATGAGACAGCCAGCGTTCAGTGCATGGGCAGGCCAAGGCCATTCTGCAATTTGGGTGAGTGTGAGGCCTCCGGTCAGCAGGAGAGAGATCTCAAAGGTGCCACCTTTGAGTGAACGGAGTGTATTGAAAAGGCAAACGTGGTTCTTTGGTTACTTCCTTAAATTTTTCTCTTCCTCATTTTTCACGCTGGTGAGAGCACGGCACCCCTGCTCTACAGCCTTCCACACCTTACTGCTGTGTGAAGGTCTCCACTAGCACGGGGAACAAGGGGGAGACAGCTTACCTTTTTTGATTAGTGATAAGCTGAAAGATAGGCACCTTGTTCATGTTTACTGCAGTTTCTGCAGGTGTGTGTGTAATATTTCAGAATGGGCTGAAAGGAGATGAACATTATTAAGATAGCTTAATGAATTAACTGCCAAGTTCGTGCCTATCACCAGAAGTTTTATCCTCTGGGACTCTATTTCATTGTTCAAATACTTAAAAATCCTTGCTAGAATTCAGTTTATTAAATGCTAACGTAACTGAATAGTTCTGTTTATAGTACTTTAAGCTTTATAGTACCATCACAGTACCAACAGTTATATCTTATGTGATGACAGGAGTTGGGAGTTTAAATACTTGTTTGTTTATGGAGGGAACTACAGTACAAGATTTTCTTTCAAACTTTCAAAAACTGGACTTTACAGTAGCACCTTAAATACAAAGTTCAGGGTCCAAAAAGGAAACCAAACAGTTGCTTATTGAAGTTTGTGTTAATTCTAATAGTTGTGCTCCTTCCATTCTAGAACCATCGTGGCACTGGTATATAATGTGCTGAAAACACTGATGGAAATGAATGGCAAGCTTTTTGATGAGCTTACCAGCTCATATAAAGCAGAAAGGCAAAGGTAATGGTTTTTGTTTGTTTGTTTGTCCAAATGGGTGGTGATGATGAGTCTGTACCTAGAATGCACCAGCTAGTATCTAGCACTTAACTGCTGTGGCTGCAGGGTTCTGTAGAAGCACACAGTAGATACTGCTGCTGTGGGTGGCACTGCAGCAGGAGGCACCTGGTGGGGGGGGGAGAAGTGCACTCAGGTGCTACCTGGTGCTGGCTCTGCTTCAGGGCTGTTGCCTGGAGAAAGAGGCTTGGCTGGAAAATACCTCACTGCTCAAACACTTCTGTTATCCCACCACCACCCACCAGTGCTCCTGGAGGTGTGCTAGCTGGATGTGCATGCTAAGGCTCCTTCCAGCAGCTGCGCTTCCACTGGCTCAAAGTGCTCAGTATCTTTCTTTTTTCCAAACCGCAGTCATCTCTGCAAAACCACACTGCAGCAATCATCTGACAAACTCCTGTCAGGGCACAGTTACTGTTTTACTGCTATAATCTTCACTGACTTGTATGCTTACTTTTTAGTAGAGGAAATGGAATGCCTTTGAATATAGCTTTGGAGAAAAAACCTTATCTTAAGCTGCAGATTCCTAGGTGTAGACCACAGTTGTTTAGGTACCTGCATCACCACACTGCACTTTTAAGGATGAATCTGAAATTGATACTTCACTCTTTTCCACAGAGAGAAAAAGAAAGAATTGGAACGTGAAGAACTGTGGAGAAAGCTAGAGGAGCTAAAGCTGAAGAAGGCTATGGCAGAGAAGCAGAACAGCACTCACAACGTGCTCAATGCACACGATACAAGTGCCAAATAAAAGAAATGACAACCTCCACTCAAGAAACATACTTTTTTGTACCCTTTTGAAATACGTAAAAATTTGCAAAATAAACCTCATCAGTACAGTAGGAACAGCCAACTTTTCTCTGGCTAAATGTAAAGATTTGAATTTAAATACAGCATTTAAGTGATGTCAGTACCAGAGCATATTGTAAATGTCTAATTATCGATATCCTGTCACTTCCAGCGTTTCATAGAACTGAATTATCATCCTTAATGAGTGAAATAATTATGGGAGTGGTGAGAATTATGACTTGAATTTTTGATTGTGTTGCACATAGGTGGTATAGTTTGCTATGTACATTTTTTCCTTGTTTTATATGTGCTTTTCACATCGCTGCATACCTTGGTGAAGATGATAGAGAAGGCTTCTAGCAGTGCTGTATTTTCTCAAATAAAACCAAGGTCTGTTACCAGTAGCATGAGACACGCAGTATGTGTCCCTCACAGCACTGAAAAGAGCTCTCAGATGGTGCTGGTCTTGAATTCCTGACTGAATTGACATTTAGATTTTTGTATAAGGTCACTTAGTGTGAGACATATAGGGAGAGAAGGTCAGCTTGAACAGGGCAGGATGGCCTATATGTTTGGTTACATGCAGCAAGTACCTCTACTCTCTTCTCACTGCCTCTTGGTCCCAGGCATACTTAAAATTTCCTCCTGCTGCAGCTGAGAATAGAGCTTTGCTTAGGGAGCCCATCACTGATGCTCCTGCTCAGCCCACAGAGCGCAGTTCTCCTGGAGACTGCCCATCCATTGTGGCCATTTCTGCATTACTTTTAGCACCTTGGGGATGGAAAAACAATACCAAAAGGGGTATATTTTTCCTTTCAGTGAGGAGGAAAGGCTGTCAGTAACTAGTTCTTTGTTTTATTTAAAGAAAATGCAGTCCACTCCTTGAAAGTGGGAAGTTGACTATGGAAGTCTTGTCTGTCACCTGATCAAGTATTTTTCACATCATCTTTTATCAGAGTACCATTCCAATCTCCTAAATTGCAGTTGTGTGGAAAACTTTTGTAATGAAAGATCTTTGGGGAATTGAGCAGCATTCAATAAAGTCTTTATGTTTGTATTTAGTGCTGTAATCACATCTTTGTGCTCGTAAAGACCAGAGGGTTAGAGCAGCTCCTACCAACAGCCCTTAACCTGTAGCACTCTTGGCAATATCAAAGCACTTAGAATGTGGCTTCTAACCCTAAGCGCCTTCATTTTGCTCTGGAAATCACCTGAAAGTTAGTATATTTTGTCCCAAAACACTTCCTCAGAAGGAAAAAAAAAAAATAAAAAAATTGGGAGTACACTTACCACTTCATTAACAAGCCATTAGTAGAGGAGGGAAGCAGCAAAATATGATGTGGCATGCTTCCTTCCTTGCAACAAACCTTTCAGAGCAAACACACAGCCGTGAGTGCTGCACAGCTGCCTTGTAGACAGCACAGCTCCGAGTTGTCAGGCATCTGACCAGCAAGGGACTTATAAGGAAGAAAAGGACTCCACCACCCCAGCACAGCTCATTAGTGCACATTCTCTTTATAACAGAATCACATTTAAGTGCCAGGCTGATGAAAGGCTTCTTTAATACTTTAGCAAAGACTGCAAGAAAGAGGAAGGAGCAGCAGCCTAAGTCTATCTCTGAAACTATCACGTTGCTTGAGTTAGACTGACCAGAAATACATAAATAAAAGTCTAATTATTTTTTAAACTTCAACATCTTGCATTAATATTCCCGTCTGGATTACCTCCTGTAAAACTCCAGCTGCATCTGAGAGCAGGCAGTTTCAGAGAAGGATATGACAGCTCACTCCAATTTTATTTTATTATTTTTTTTAATATTCAAGTCAATACATTTTAAATGAGAAATGATGTAGTAGAATTCCAGTGTATTTTGTTTTAACATTCTTTGGAGAGGGGAGGCTGGACTGTTTTGTAGTTTGGGTTTCACCTTCCACTAAGTATGCTCAAGGAAATAACTGCATTCTGGTAGCAGATGCAAGTTCAGAGCTTAGGCAGCACTTTCACACCCCCCTGTTCTGAGAACCATTCAAAACAGTTCATTTTTTGTTTGTTTCTTTTGAAAGAATCTGCTACATTAGTGAAATCTCCTCACTCCCCCCACATACCGAGGTAAACTTGTTAAATCTGGAATAGAAAAGCATGAGTTTGTTAGAGCTGTCCTAGCACTCCTAGAGTTAAGCTCTTCTCAGAAGTTTAGACGTCAGTTCATGAGGCTGTTCCTCCAGCAGCTGTGTTTTTCCTAAAGAAAACATACCTGTTTGCTGTATTGCCAATGGAAGCTTACTCCAGTTGTGCTCTGTCCCCTCTGCTGCAGATAGTTATGGGGTAGTTTTAGTCTCAGCTTATATGGTTCATTACTTGACTTCTTCTCTTCAGATGTCTCTTTCGGATTTTGATCATCCACTTAACACTTAACTTAGCAAAGTCTGCAGCCTTAAACAGAGCCAAAAAGATACCGCAGAGAAGAGCAATCGTGTTCCAAGGATTTGCTGTGATTATCTGAAAGAGAAAATATTATTCTCCTCATCTGACTCGGTATATAACCTACCTGTACATTAAGAGGCATTTCCATTCATCTATCAGAAGAGTTTGGCAGCACACACCTTCACACTGCATAGAAGGGCTGAGGCCCCACGCCACACCTGTGCCTTGTTCTGGGCTTCGTCCCATTCCTTTTGTGAGAAAGGAAGCACACGTGCCAGGAGCTGCCTGTACTGGCTGCTAAATTCCTTCTGACTTTCAGGGTTGTTTAACTTTTTAGATACTGTTAAATTAGCAATTTACTACATTACTTAAAGATGTAAAAAACCAAGCAGTTACATGGAAGAGGTTCTTCCATTAAGACTAAACAAAGCCAGAACTACTGAAAAGCTTTAACAAGATGCATTGTAATGATAAACTCATTCTGACAGCAGCAACTGCTTCTGTAGAACTACAGCAAGTATCTCAGTTTCTATTTTTAACTACGTTTGGTTTAGGAATAGTTAATTTTATTTACAGTTTGCAATTCTTCTTGTACCTGTAGGCACGATGGTGACTTCTGGGACCTCAAGATGAAGCAAGCAGATTTAGGTTTAAGCAGCAATAAAGTAACACAGCTTTCAGATTTGCTGTGGAGTACCAGACACTGATAGTCAGCACAAAGGCAATGGCTCTGGGTCACAAGCTGAGCCACAAGGTTTGCAACCTGGCTGCCCCTATTATGTGCCCAAACACAGCACCACAGGCTGCTGTAGCGTCAGCAAGAGGAAATAAACACCACCCTTCACTGCAGCACGGGGCGCTCCCAGCTGGAAGGAGGTGGGGGCATGTGGCCCATCATACAGACTACAGCATGGTTTTTCTGAGCTACGTGCACCTCTAGCTGCAAAGATAATGCTGTGTCACTGAGCCAGGGAAAGACATCGGATGGTCTTGAGCCCCACTGGCTATTTATTACTGAATGTATAAAAATAACAACCCTCAGAGTGAGATTTCAAAACTAACTTCACTCTTCCTGTTACCTCAGTTCATGCAGAAGCTCTGAGGCATACACGCACACAAACACACACCATGAGCGTGTATGGCAAGAAAATAAGATGCAAGGCTGTTTACTTACATCTTGAACAGTCTGTATAAAAGGGTCTTTCCATTCAAATACCACAAAAAACAGCTGGTCATTCCTCAGCTTAGTCCTCCGGTCAATGTAGTTAACCACACTAGTCTGGGGAGGGAGAAAAGAAAACAGTGAAGAAGGTGCTGATTACTTTCTTCAGTTGTACAATCCAGCCTTCAGTGCATCAGAAAAGGCTTGTAAGGTGAAAAGAGCAGGCTGTTCAGCCTTCCTCCACCTGGAATGTCAGGCTTTCAGAATAAAGAACATCAGTAACCTTTATCTGTTTCATGATCACATTCACTTCCTATTTCCCACCTAATAAAACACTGTACCATTTCAGACTGGCAGCCAAGGCTTTTGTTACATATAGCAACATTTCATTGCTCCTACTTGATGCCCCAGTGCTTGCTGACACAGCACAACAAAGGTACAACCACAGCACACACTGCAGCAGCAGCACAGCTCTTAGCCATATATACCAGCACGGGAAGTCTCACTCCATTCACCCGTGGTGTCAGCGATCACTTTTGTTCCCACGTGCTTACAGGTCCATATTCTCTTTAAAAATCAAAGTGGGAAAACAGAAGCAGGGCCTGACTGCTTTATTCATTTATTCCTGCCTGCAGGAGGGCAGAAGGAGGTGTGGTAACATTCAAGAAGGAGTGAGAGATAGCAGACGAAAGCCTTCAGCTGGAGCATGGCCGCACAAGCAGCTTACTGAAAGCACTCTGTTCCAGCAGTATCCAGTTACAGCCCACTGCACGCTTCACTACCTGCTTTGGAAATGCCCCTATCCATCACCTTTGTCAAAATAAAGATTTTCCCCCTTCAAGTGCAGAGAGTTCATTTACCAAAATCATTTATTGGGGCTAATAGAGCATTCAGCAAGCTGTCATTCATGAGTGCTGAATTACTTTTATTTACCACAGAATTACACAACGGTGGAGGGAACAGGCTGGAAGGTTTTTCTGAGTTTCTTTTTTTAAAGAATCAGGTGTAGAACAAGCTGGACACCAGCAACTGCAGAATGAAAAGGGAAAAGCAGCCTACACACTGCTGATCAAACCCTACCTCCCAGTACTGCCCCTTGGCTGAGCTACTGTTTGAAATGATCACTGCCTGGTACAGAGCTGTGTGACACCTCCCAGCAGCTGTGACACACGTACTGCTTAGGGTGCCAGAGAGATGTTGCAGCCACATGGAATTGTAGGCTGAAGAGTGACAACTGGGAAAGCATGAAGACATTGGGCCTCAGAAAAACATCCATCTTGTCTTGTATGTGCACAGACATCTGAGTCCAGAAGGAACAACATGGGGAACCACATGCAGCAGCAATAAGTTTGCTGTAAGCCTCCTGTCCCTGGAGGACAGCACAAAGCATGCAGGAGCCAGGCAGCTGCACTGCAGTGATGGGAGGACTTGGCCCCTCTCCAGACCTCAGAGGAAAAGTTACACCTTGGTGTGTGCACAGGGCAGCGCTTCTCATCTTCCTAGAGAAGTTCAATTCTGTAATTGAAGTAATTAATCAGTACAGTTACTTCATTCCGTGAGCTACAGATATGAGAATGGATTCAGCAGACACTGTATGGGAAACGACCTCCTACCTCTCCACCATGGCTTAGAGTCTTTATAAATACCTTCAGCTTTCTATCAGTCTCCTCTTCCCAGACAGACACCCTGACGTTATGCTACGCCCAGAAGCAGGAAGCAGAGCACTGCATGCACCCATTCCAAGCACGTGGGATCTTAACAGCCTTATGTTTTCTAGTCAAACCTCTTTGCTGCACATTCACCCAATGCTTCTGTAGCTCATTTACTTATTGCAGCACACAATACCCCAGCTACACTCATTCAGGAAAACTGCACAATAGGAAACCAGGTCACAAAGCTGACTAAAGGCAATGGGAAAGGCAGAAAAGACCAAGTAATGACTACTGCATTACTCAGCACACTGACTGGCTATGCTATTTGACCCAGTATTTGTATCCAGCTTTCTGGTGTGCTGCCTCCGTTTTAGATTTGACAGGCCAATGAACTTCCTTATTCCATTTGAGCAGAAACTGTACTGTCAAACAGCAAGTGCAATTAGTCTGAACTAATTCAACCTCTGCTGTATTATTAATAGGTAACTGAAACATGAAATTCGTATTTGTACCAATTCCTACTTCCTTTTTCTTTTTTTTATTAAACCAAACAGCCCACACAGGTGATTGGGAAGTCCATAACTGCCAGATTAAATGGATGCTTGTGGTAACAAACAGCTCACCTTTGATTCTGGGTCAGTCTTTTCTACTTGGAGATGCTTTAGACATGGACACACAGCAAAGACTTAAAAATCCAATGCTACATAAATACCACAACTGGCAAGTGAAACAGAGCTCCAGATGATGAAGGACAGACAACTGTTGTCAGTGCTTATATGACAGTAGCTGACTACGACATCCTTTCCTGCAGACAAAGGCCCACACTGCAGGATTTCAGGATTCTCCTACTCTCCTGCAGCAGAGCTGAAAGTCACCAGCCCACAGTCACAGTCTGTCCCTGTGGCTTTGCCACAGAAGGCCTCTTCCATCAATATCAGGCACAAGGGAACAGACTCAGAACACACTCTGTCTGTCATTGTGAACAGTCAAACCTATTTCATTTCTAGCTAAGTATGTGTCTTCCAGCTGCATATTTTCTAGCTTGAGATACTTCAAGAAGTTGAGTTACTCCATGTTCTTAAGGGTAATTAACAGATAAAAATCCCAATCCCAAACAGAAAGCAGATATGAGAGTGCTATAATCAATACTGAGCTTATGTTTACATCTTCATTTTAACATGAGCCCTTGTAGTAACCTAAACAGTACCTCTTTCCATTATTATTATTTAGATAATTCCTTTGGAAATCTCTACCTCGAACTAAAGTAGCTCTGTCTCTTCAGACCCACACATTGGATACAGGTGTCACTTATGACAACAACCAAGGCCTTGAACTTCTCACCTCCCTGTTAGGAGATGCTTTTCCTGAGACTTTTCCCCTACCAACAGCAGAGCACATCAGAACATCTACAATTTTACACAGTTTCTCCACATTGAAAGAACTCGAGTAACTGTAGAGATGGTTCAGATGACCAACTGCTCAGCAGCAAGGGGTGGAACAGATACCATTAAGCAAAAGCCAGTCTCCTGGCATTTCACTCAAAACAACCAACCAATGCACCCACCCCTTCCTTCAACTCAGATTGTTATCTGCACCAAGAGCTGGTCTGTTGGCCAATTATAACTAGAAGTACCCTACTCTTTGAGAGCAACCAGTTTTTAAATCACGTAACGCCCTAACATCTTCATGGATTTTTTTTTTTCTTTGCTTGCTTACCTCTTGTTTGAATTCCACAGTCTCTCTACCATCCTCTTCCTTTGTTTTCACCAAGGACATCTTGACCCAAGTTCGAAAGCCTCCAGAAAACTTCCAGCTGGAGTATGAACTTTCACAGTCCTTCATGAATTCTGCTTTTTCTGGACTAAAGGAAAAAGAACTTTACTGACCAAACTCAGAGCAGTGCTTGGACACTGCAGCAGCAGAACATCAGGCCCACAACCTCTCCAACATGTGTTTAAAACTCCTTTGAAATATCAACTGCTATAATTCAGCATATTTAATACACTGTTAGCAGGACAGTTTTGATTAACATTAGCGCTTACACTCGTGTTCTTAATTGCAGAAGACTTACCTGCTGTCTTGCTCCCCCTGCAGGCTGCGCTGCTTTACGGGGGAGCTTTGTTCTGCTCACGTGTCACCACTGGAAGAGAGAGGAAGAGAGCCAAGACCCCAGCTAACAACTCACCACAATGCTAAGAAGCAAGAGATGGAAGGAATAGCCTCAGGCCAAGGCTTCACACCGTTTCTGGGGAGCAAATAAACTGGCTGCAATGGAGACAACATGCCTTGAAATTCACATTTGATGTAGTGCTATTAATTTAGGAATAACATAAGGGCTCCTATCTGCAGTACAGCTGTTTTCCCAATACACAATCACAGATATTTGCAGCCCTGGAATAACAGGATTGGTTTATATCTTTTTATAAAATATACTGTGACTTTCTGCCATCTTAAGTCTTCCAATATCCCTCAAGTAGTAACGAGGTAGCTCTAGGGTAGAAACCAGACATGCCCTGTCTCTATTAAGTGCACAGGAAACACTGAATTAACCATTCCATTTACTTGGAGCTTCCTGGTACAGCGATTTTAGCCACTTTCATGTCCTCTCCATGAAATAAGCCTGTCTCTCTCTACAGCTGCTTTTCCACAAGGTTTCATCTGAAATGAACAGGTACTGTGATGAGTCACAAAACATTAAAACAGACTGCAAATTTTTACTGAAGATAGATTTCAGGTTTAGAGCTATGCCAGGGTATGCTGGTCCTTGAGACTAGGGAAAAGAAAAAAGTTTTTGATCCAGAGTAAATCCACCTTCTGAGTAAAAGGGAAAGAGCATACTTCTGTTCATACGGCAGAGGAAGCTCACAGCTAGGTCTACTAGAAGATGAAGCTACTTTGGTCTTCTAGGAGAAAGATGCAAAGAAATCAAGACTGATGTGGAAGATCTGCCATGTACCAGCACTGGGTGGATTTACACACTTTCCAACTTTTCTCTCAGTCTTCAGAACTAGGGCTCCTTTTTTTTTTTTTTCCTATAAAGAACGATGACTTGTCCACTTGGCAGCACATGCACAGGCTGGTAAGATTACCGTGCTGATGGCTGCTCTGTACAACACTGACTGCTCAGGCTGAATAGATGAGCATGCATGTGATAGTAGCATGGCACAGCCTAGCAAAGTCACTGCTTTCAGCTCAGTGCTTCAGGTGGAAGGCTCAAGCTCAGAAAGGAGAAGCATTTCCAGAAAGAAAAAACAATACTCTGCTAACCATCAAGATACTCCAGAGTGCTTCAGCCATATAGGATATCTTCTCTCTGTAACATAAGCTGCAGTACAGCTCTCCAATCCCATGGTGAAGATATGGGCAAAGCACGAGAGGAAAGGCCAATGCCTGACTCCTCCTTGCCATGCCAACCAGTGACAAACTACTTCTTCCCCTCTCAATATTTGGGTACAGCAGCATGAAGGGGACAAACAGCCAGGAAGAGCGTGGTATTTTGCCACTCAGAGAAACATACATAATTAGCACTCTGCCAGCCAGTCACGTGCCCAATGCATGACTCAGTACAGCATCCCAGAAAAGCTTTCCAAACCAACATGGAAAATTGAGGCAGGAAGTTATGACTTAGAGTTGAACATTACAGCCACAGCTTACATGGTAAGCAGGCAGCAACAATATACTTTGCCTTCAATGGTAATTGTAGGCTTGAAAAAGAAAGATTGATATCTTAAGAGAAGTTGTGGAGAAGTGATCTGAAAAGGCATCTCCTTGTGTGCACCAATAATCCAGACCAGTGCCACAGTCAGGAAAAAAAATAAAGGAGGGAGGACAGAGCAGAGATGCAGAAGCTCTGCACGAGTAATAGCAGAGGGCAAATAACACCCGAGTTTACCTCTGCTGGGGAACAGGAAACTCTCCAACATTACATGGGATGTAACACAGGGTCAGATGTTGTGGTATTAAAGCCATGTCCCTTCTTCGTTACCATTTATTTCTCTGCACACAGCAATCCGGAGAAGTGAACACAAAGCTCTGTTTATACCCTTAAATAATCTTTGTCCTGTTCTGACTGGTATTCGTCATCTTACATAAGTTATTTTACATGCTAAAATAACAATAGTTTCAACAGCAATATGTTCAGAGGATTTGCTTCTTAAACCCACATATTACACTAATGACAGTTCAGGAAAGGAACTTGCATACTTAGCTACACGTTTTTGGTAACATTGCAAGGGTTTCATTATTTCATTTTCCCCGATTAATGTTGTACACACACAGCAGCTGCCACTATCTTAAAGGAGAAAGAAAAACACAAAAGAAGAAAATCCACTGGCAGTATTCCTCCAACTCACAGTCCGACAATAGCACACAATTCAGCAGTGTTCTGTGAAAGCCAAAACAAAGCTAGCACGCACTGCCAGTTTAATACAGGCTGGTGATCCAATTTTAACGTGAGAGCTGCAGAAAATAAAACCCTTAACAGAAACAATTGGACCTGACTTGAGTCCTCACCACTCAACAAATTCTTAAAGCACAAGAGCCTAGAAACCATTTTTAGTATTCTTACAGCCGATGCCTGCAGCGGCCTTCACTGGTTATTATTATATGAAGCAAAAATAATTAACAACAGCCAAATACTGGTCAGTATTTGAAGTTTCTTTAGAGTGTGTATGGGAGGACAAAGTTACATTGTCAATACACAACAGTTTCTAAGGATATCAGCCCAGACTTCCCATCAACTAAATTTAGCATCAGCTGAGGAACCAGAAGCCATTTCTATTTTCTCTCCTGCTAGAAGCTGAATAGAATGAGCAGATCCCACAAATGCAAGATGTTTCACTTGCAGTTCATAGTCAGGAGAAAAGATTAGTTTTCAGTCTGTCCTGAACCTGTCCTGTTTGTGCCCTGGGATATTAAGAGAGCAATACAACAACACTGAGGAAGACAAAGACATACAGTTTGTTCTAAGCTTTGGAGAACGCTCTATGAGAGACAGTATCAAAACCTCTTGCACACAACTGATTCTCTATTTCAACTGGATAATCAGATCATTTACCAGTACACTTAAAGGCCTATGTGCCTTTGCCAATTTTACTATTACCTGGGTCAGTTCAAAACCACCCTCAAGCTACATTCCTATTACGTGCTACGAACAGGCACAAAGATGCACCTTCATACAGACAACATCATTTCCTACCTTTTTGCTTTGCTTCAAACATAACTTGGGCTCAGTCTTCGCTCTCCAAGCAGAGACAAGGCAGCTTCTTTAAGAACACAGCATCATTTCCCTTTCTTTTCAGGAATCAATTCTGCCATCCAACCTGTCTGATCTGGGAAACCTGGAGGCAGGATGTTGCAATCCCCAATTTCTTCAGGAAGCTTACAGATGTTTCTTACTGATTCATCCACTCTGGTTCAAATATAGCCTTCAAGCTAGGATCCTGGCAATACCATTTAGTGTTGTTTTTCACATCTAATCCACCTCTGCACAACATCCAATACAAACATTTCAGAAAGCAGCATGTAAACTAGCTTGCAGGAAGAGATACTTGGAATACTGTTAGCTTAACCAGGACACCCATGCTTTAACTGGGAAACAAACAGCTCTTTAAAATGGCTTATCTGCAAATTAATACAATGAGAACAGAAAGGTAGCTTCCAGAACTTGAGTATACATAGGCCAATTTGTGTCTTGGTAAGTTAGCATGTTCTGCACAGATACAGCAACCAGACACCACACAACCACCCTTTCCGATCTTCATCCACTGGGGATGGTCTCAGACGCTCACTCATGTCTTGAAGTACAGAAACAGCTGTGCACTTTGCTGGAATCAGTCCCACCATTCCTGCCACTGACTGCAGTACAAGCCACAAAACTGAGAAAATCCAACACAGAAGGAACCAGTATTACTTCCAGCATCGCTACTCTCAGTATTTTCTCACTCTAATACATCAATGCCCAAAATACCTGGAACATCTGCATTGTTCAGATGCATCTTAGTGCAGTTATACGAAGTACCTGAGAACTTACTATCTGTCTCCTTCATTGAAGTAGAAACGCTTTCTAAAAAGCAAATACAGATAACTGGTCTTCAGACACCCAGAGACACCGGGAACGAACGCTTTCTGTCTTTGCTCCTCTTTTGGAAATACACCCAAGCCTCCAGAAGTGCTTCAATACAATAAGGCATTATATTTCTTCCTCTCCATCACCTTATTACTCTCTGCATAGGCCTTTTACCACTCTACATCTGACCATTAACAAATTAAGGCTCCTTATTAAGTATCATTGTGCCTAATGGCTCTTGACTAGCTTTTCATCTGGATCACAGAGAGAAAAACAGAACTTGAATTTAAATTAAAAGCTAAAATTAAATTTCTCACAAGGCGTGAAAAAGGTTGGGGCTTTCAAGAAAGTTCAAGAAAGGATTAATTCCACTCTTATTAAAATAAACAAAAGGTTGATCAGTCACTTCAATGACACTGACATAAATCAACACGAAGCATTTTTTAAATCCCCATCTATAACAGTTCAATATAGTCACAGACTCAACCCTCCACATACCTGTTGACGAACTCTTGGAAAGAAGAAAACAGAAGGTAATCAATGGCACTAAAATCTTGGTCTGTTCCATTTAAGTGAAACTGCAAAAACACCAGCTCCTTCTTCTTCACGTCACGAGGGCCTTGAACAACCAAAGCATACTTCTATAAGCAGACAGAGAGACAGTGAGAGTAGGAGAGGAGGAATCCTCATTTCCTGTTCATGAATTTGCCACATGTCACTGATACTCTGCAGAAATCTAATACAAAATGAGGTTCTCTTGGCCTCCAGTAAGTAGACATTCTGTTAAGACATCCAAAAAGACTGCCTGCCAAGCAAATGAGAATTCCACCTTTTGGTTGAAAAATGAATTCTCTAAATCAGAATTCAGACGTTGCTAAGAGATCTGAACTAGTTCCATCAGTCTACACCACTTCCATCAATCTGCACTACTTCCATCACTGTCACTTGGGTTCACTTGAAATTACCAGCTAAGGCTCTGCAGCCTGCATTCTGCAGAAAGACAATCAAGACAGTTTGGGGCATTACAGCCTGGGAACTTTCAGCTCTTGACATAAAACAATTTTCATTTGGAGTCTGATGTAGAAAACATTATGCTTGTTTTTGAGAAAGAGGCACAGTTCCATAGCCTGCAAGCAAGCTGCTGAGGAGGAAGGGAAGGAAAAAAAAAAGAAACTAGCTAGCAGGCAGAATACTGCTTAATGTGCAGGAATTACACTGGCCAGCAAGTTGTTGCTTGCAAAATGACTCTGCCAATTTGAACATGGAGCTGCATGGTTCAGAGGTCTGCCTCGATGCCTCTCCATTCAATTGGAGGACTGCAAGCTTCCAAACAAATTTACCACACAGCATAAAATACAGGTTCTTAGTTTATTAAAACACGCAAGAAAAAAAAAATAGAGGAAGAAATGAAAGACATTAAATATTTAGACTTGGCACATTATTTTAAAACATACCGGGAGCTTCTTCCCAGACAGAACTGGTGACTAGACAGAAGGAAAAACACAAGGATGAAAAAAAGCTGACCAAAGAGGTAACTAAACTCCTTGCTCATGTCTACTTTTCTTAGAAACAATCTGCAATAACTTCAGATTAGACACAAATGACCCCACTTCATACTTCATTTTCTGAACATTTTTCTGTACAGAAGCCAGATTCCCTGCATTTTTAAGGGGAATTTAGAATGTCATTTAATGCACTATCTCATCTTATTGGCACATAGCTTCAATACAATAAAATGCTCAGTTGCCTAACTAAGAATTTGTGAAGTGTGACAAAAATGATGAAATTGCTACTGCTTTCAACATTAGATTTACTATATCAAGGAGTGTGCTTGCACTTAGGAGATGAATTGAGTTTCACTGTGCAAAGCAAAACTTCTGTTCATTCAGGTTTGCATGTTACACAGAGCCACATGACAGCCGATCATCCATAAAATACATACAAACTGATTGGAGTATTTTACATTTCTGAAAATATAAAGAAATGGTTTGGAGGAAAAAAACCCAACTTAACAGGAAAAAAACCCACAACCCTAGAAGCAAGGATATTTTGCAGCATCTCGTAAATATTTCTACTCTCAAACCTTGTACGAGCAGAACTCCCCCACAGCCCACTGAATAAGCTTTACTCTGTTGTATTATTACCATAGTTTGATTAGTAAAAGGATCTGTGTAGTTGATTCTCTGCGTGGTGCACTCAATGTCTCCTGGCTGACCTGGATTTATCAGCGGCAGAATATGATCATAGTAATGATGCTTGCAGCTAAGCAGCCGAGCCTTTCCTGGGTAAAAGGCAATACCTGTTTTAGGAGAGAGAACATTGAGGAGAGTTGACATTCATAGATTTTCACTCTGGGATTTAATCCCACAGGACACTGAGCTGTCCTGCCAAGATCCAGCAGCACAATCAAATTAAATCATGCGCTTGAGTATTTTTTCAGAGCAGGACAGCAGAGTCAGCTGCACTCATCAGGACAGAAGTCCTGCAATGCACTGGAGAAAATCCAGGTTTGTTTTGAATTTACAAATCAAAGCTCACAGAAGTTACTAAGCTTCCCTCATTCCCCTTAGCAAGCAGCTAAGGAATCAGTCCTTCCAGCCCCAGATGAGAGGAAAGTACAAAGTAAGCTAGGAGATCACTGAAGTTAAATGGGACACAAAGTGCTTCAGCATGTACATACTCAGATGTTATGATTTAGCACACAATATTTTAACTGGAAAAAGCATAGGTACTATATATGAGAGATTATGCTAATCTCATAAAAGTGAAAAGATGCTCTTCAGAACATCTAGCATCTTCTATTCATAAAATACAACGTATTTATACCTTATTACTTTTATCGCTAGGTAGGCAAGCTACTACTTCACCTGTATGTGAATTCACATACTTGTATATACCATAATTTTGTGGCTTCAGCCCAACAGCAAGCAGAGGCTTCAGACCTCAAATACCTCAGCTGTAGAAACCCAGCAAAGTACAAGGCTCCAAACCAAACATCTTGTTATGCCACATTCAGTACTGGAAACAAACCTGCCTGAAGCTAATCTAGACCAACTACAAAAAAAAGCATGATTTATGAGTTGTGTGATTAACTCATACAACTGAGATGACCTGTCCACCAAAATGCAAGATGTCAGAATAGTCAGAACACATCAGTCTAAAAATGTTTTACTCCTCCTTTCAGTGCCCCATGCATTCAACTTGCCATCTCGTTACCTTAACAGAGCAATGAAAGCAACACTGACGAACAGCTTAGCAAAAGGCTACATTAATTCTACAAAAATCTGCAAGAGTAAGACAACAACATGAAACACCTTACAACTACAATTACTGGAACTGTGATATTTAAGATGTGGTAACAAACAGAACAGACTTCAAACAGAAGCGTTATTTTTACACTGGAAACTAACAAAAGGCTTCCAATGCTGTTTGAGCTACATTTGCTACCACAGCTTTATTTACAAATGGTTACCAGATAATTTTAAAAAGTGATTATAAAACTCGCAATCCAAAAATGCTTCTGTGGAGTAATCCCTCCTGCAAACTGCAATACAATTTTCTGATGCCACATTACATTTTTATGCCAACGCCGTTCTCTGCAGTCATATCACATCGTCGTTGCCTTCTGATGCACCTCCAAGTGGTAAAAAAAAAAAAAACAAAAAAACAACTGAACAGAAGTAGGAAGTGGCACCACTTCTGGGCTTGTTGGGGTTTTTTTTGGTTGGTTGTTTTTTGTTAGTATTATCATTGTTTTATGGTTTCTTTGGAAAACCTTTCTTTACTGTCAGCAGCACCTCACTATCCAGTGCAGGAGTGAGATCTGGGAACAGATCCTACGTGCTCCACTGCCCCAGTAATGCTGTCTGGGGAGCATTTCTGTGAGAATTACCTTCTGTCCCTACGAGGGCCCATTCTAGAGTGTGCAAACACTTCCTGGCTATCAAATGTTGCACTTTATCAGCTACCAGTCTTACCAGGTGCATCATACAAGGACACTTCCTTGTAAGAGACAGACATCACAGGGTGCTTGAGCTTCTCCCTGAAGTCACTGATGGTTTGGTAGACCAGGAACACAGCTACAGCCATAAGTAGCAGATAAATGAACAGGAGAATTACTGAAAACACATTCTTCAGGCAGGTCTTGCTGAAACGCAAGGAAGGGGCACTGGTACCCAGTTCACTATCTGGAACCAAACAGAACATGAATTAGATCTCTGAAATACAGATTTTGGGGCAGAATTTACACAGTGTTTGTTTAAAGATCAATCACTTGAGAAGAAAGTAAACCTTAAAATCATGTTTGATTTAAAAAAACCCAAAAACTATTGCTGTCTTTAATGATCAGTGAGACAGCTGCTTCCTCCTCAAGCACGAGGCAGTGTCTTTGGACGGCTGTGCCTTTTTTAAATGTTGAACTTGGCATTCACCTAAGGACAAGGCAGGAAACAGCATTTATTTTCAAGAAAGCCAATCCGGAAACAAAGTTCAAAGTTCACAAGAAAAGGTCTGTCAGTGCTCCGTCTTTCCTCCTGGAAAAAACAACCTATTTCTCCTCACTTCCAGCCTGATCTGACTCTGACCTCCTTCAGTATATGCAGTCAGCAGAGATTTAACATTCTAATAACGCTCTTACATAGCTAACTGCATGGCACTTCCACCATGGCAAAAGCCACTGTGAATTTGTTACCCTCTAATTTCAGGTTTGTAATTCTTAACTCCCGGTGCATACTGCATAAAGTTTCACAAAAGAAGGCTCTTTCCAATTACACCTAGGAAAAAAAACAGACCCAATTCCTTCCTTCTTGCCTTCAAAGCTTATTCTCTGAAGATCTTTGCACTAGTCTCACTTACACATCCAGAGTTACACAAACACTGCTTACTCCATACCCCTTTGCATTCTCAACTTCTTTTGGCAGTACTTGTAAGTAAAAAAAATTATGTACTGAAGTTACACATTCATATTTTGATTGTGAGCGATATAAAGCTGAACATGCAAAATAAACATCAAAACTAAAAGCATGGAAGGAGATAAATAGGCATATTTTAAACTGACTTTTCTGTGTGGCGTAATTTAATGAGTCAGGCCCTTTCAGGCCATGCCACACTCTGCCCTTCAGCTATAATGGCAGGGTTTGCTGTTTGCTCCTTACCACAGCAAACACTAGCCTTTTTGTAGCTCCTACTGAACACATAACCACATATAAAGGTCCGTGGCCACACAAGTGTTCCAAATTTCATTGCCAGGAGACGTCAGCCAAGGAAATTAGGTCATTAACATGCATAAAATTGCACTACTAACAAAAAGTCTGTCTTGAGCAGCTGCAAAACATTTAGGGGATATTCATTTCAGGTTGGCATACCTTAATGTTCAAATCCGGCCTACATCAGCCCATTTATTAAAAACAAAACAAAAAACAAAATTTTGAACAGAAACAGCTTACCAGGTACTTAGAACTCATAATCTTGGGGTCAACAGTTCTCACCTGGTAAAATAGCAGAGCTGGTATCTTCATCAACTCCCATCTCTTCTTCTCTCTCATCTGTTGGGTTTTCAGATACTTGTTCCACATCTTCACTCAGCTGTGTAGTTAAAACAGTGGTTCAATTTCCAAACATGCTCTCAACTTGCAATTGCTGGAATTTCTATGGTACAAATAAGAGAGGCTCCAACTAACCAAACACACAAAACCATGCCCCCAGTCCAAGAGCACCCAGCGTGTGTTCCAATTGTTCACAGGAGTCACATTTGTGTAGATCTAGAGCTGAAAATTAAGTGCCACTCACACTGCATTTAACCTACTTCTAGCCTGCTGTCTCAAGAATAACATCACCTTTTCTTTCAAGACGGATGTAATTGCTTCCCTGGCAGTTTCAGCTCACACAGAACCCCCAATTAAGGGGATGCCTTCTGAAATAGGCAGGAACTCTGTTCTGTTACTCAGTAACATATTTTAGGCATAAAGATACCACACCACATGCCAACAAACAGAGCATCAGCACCCCTTAATAGAGAAGTATGTAAAAAGCAAATTGAATTTTGACAGATATTAGGACAAAAACTCAAATGCAGTCCCAGCTATATAGGTAGGTGGGTGGGTCATTAAAAGACATTAAGACGCCCTTAATGTTTCTTTGAGCTCTCTGTAAATATTATTCTACATTAGTGGTGATGCAACTAATTGGTCTTCCAGTGTTTCCACACCAGCAGAGACCTGACGTTTTCTTGTTTTGCTATTCAGAGCTCTGGGTCCCAACCACCAAGACACCTCCATCAGAGTCAGAAGCTCCTCACATCAGAAGATCACACGGGATCAGGAAACAATTGACTGTTTGTTTTGCCCCCTCCTGTGCGTTAAAAGTATACCCTGCATGTCTTCCAAGCTTCTTTCATGGGAAGGAACAACACAAACTGCAGGTTGGTAAACCGAGTCCTTACAGCATATCATGTTCTGCACAGTACCCATCCAGCTGAACACTCAGTATCAGATACCTAATTCAGGCAGATTCGCTTTGTTCCTATTTCAAGGAAAAAGGGTGCATACTAAATGCACTACTCACACTGAATGCTAATAAACTTTACCCCCCCAACTGAACAGTAACTGTCTGTATCCGTAAGTGCTTTTCTTTTGTGCAACTCCAATTCAGTACTAAAATTATCATCGTTACATCATTAACAGTTCATCATTTGCATTTATTAGGAAAGAATTCATTAATTTCACATCTCAGAAGGCTGATGTAAAGCCTTCATCACCTCCTGACGCATTTCTGTATTTGTTTCTGCCATATAAAGTGAACTGGAAGCATTCACCAGTTACTTAAGTGCTAAGCATTTAAAACAAAGTATGTTTTCTGTTAGCACGAGGCAGGGAATACACAGGTAAATCATAGGCTACACTCAGCTCCTTTGCAGGAGACTTACCTGGATACAACTGAAGATATTTTTTGTCCAATAACCATTATAAAATAAATGAAACTCAAGACTGCCCCTTTATGCAGGGCCACGTCAGTTCTACTTACTTATCTAAAATAGGCTCTTGTGACACAGGAAGAATATTCCCTGAGCCTTTTGTACCAGTTTAGCTAAATCAGCTAAAAAGCCACTCTGAATTACACACCAATGGAAATTCTTGACCCAAATAGTTTACCAGGAATTACAAAGTCCATGTAGTGTCTCAGCTGACTCCTGTACCTTTCTGGCTGGGTTCTCTGATACCCACACCTCATCAGCTGACATCACGTAGGGGGTTAAGTGCATTCTGTTCCTAACAGCAAGAGATCTCAACAGGGGTTTAAACAAGAACATAGTATGCAACACTTACTATCATCTCAAGAGAGATCTTCTTGATTCTAGTAAGAAGGAAGAGAAGGAGCCAGCAGTACTTAGAAACAAACAGGAAAACCAGTAAGCAACCACATATTTTATGATCTCTGCTTACAACGCACACACAGTTTCAGAAACCTTTCCCATGGAGCACCAGGGAAGTACAGATAGCCAAAAGCAGGCAGAACTCACATTGCCCCAGGTGTACTGAGTAAGTTGAGCTGATGCACAAGCCTCCCCTTAACCAACTAATTTCACTGCAAATCCCAAACACCTGTCTTGAGAAGCGGAGGTGCCCAACTGTGGCTGCTAGAAGCTAGCACTGCTTGTGGCCCCACACACAGACCAACCAGCATGGTAACTCACGCACAGAGCTGTGGAGAACCAGCACAGCAGTACTGCATGCAGTTTATTCCAGTTTTTCCAGAAACTTAGACAAAATCCCCAGATTGTGGCAGGTGACATTAGTGAATTTATCAGGCATAGCGGTGTTTACTCCCACAGGCTGGCTTTTCCTCTGCTATTTTTCATAAAGAGGTGAAGCATGGTGCTAATGTACAATGAATGCAACTCACGGGGCAGTTAAGCTTACAAGAGGATGTGGAGATATGATATTGAGAGCAGGAAGGGCATGAAACGGAGCTTTGTTCAGCAACCCTCTGTGCTCAGCACGTGCAGCTGACTGAGAAACAATGGCAGGAGCCTGCTCATGACCCAGCAGTTCCTTGCCCATCCCACACACTAGAAAAACAAATGCAGAGAAGATAACTCCAGCTACGTCTGCCTCCTTGCTAGGGCAGGTGCCCAGAGGAGGGATGGAAGGGCAGTAGTTCTGCACCAGCACACAGGCACTATGGAGCTGGGGACATGGCACATGGAGCAGGGCTGGGTGGTGCTGACTGATGCTCAGGGCATCGTGCATAGTTCGGTCTCTGCTTTCAGGTATCTCTGTGACATCAGTGACTGTCTCGAGCACTCCCCTGAATACAAGCTTTTACATGAGTTAAGCTCTTACATGAGTTACGTGCCATGAGGCCCCAGAGCGTGTCCAGAGAAGGGTAATGAAGCTGTGAGGTGTCTGGAGCACAAGTCTTATGGGAGCTGCTGAGGGAGTTGGGATTGTTCAGTCTGGAGGTTCAGGGGAGACCTCAATGCTCTCTACAATCACCTGAAAGCAAGTGGTGGCCAGCCTCTTCTCCTGGGAAACAGTGAATGGATGAGAGGGAATGGCCTCAAGTTACATCAGGGGATGTTCAGGCTGGATATGAGGAAACATCTCTTCTCAGAAATAGCGGGGAGGCAGTGGCACAGGCTGCCCGGGGAGGTGGTGGAGTCACCGTCCATGGAGGTGTTCGGGGAACGTGGGGATGTGGCACTGAGGGACGTGGTCAGTGGGCACGGTGGGGGTGGGTTGGCACAGGACTAGATGATCTCAGTGGTCTTCTCCAACCTTAACGATGCAAACGTCATGCTGATAATTACGGGATGAGGCCTTCCTACTCGATAAAACCCTCATGAACACAAGGAGAACCTGTCTCTGCAGGCCTGCCGCCAGACAACTGATTCATCCATCACCTTCTAACGCCTTCTGCTCCGACGCGAACGGACGCAGCTGGAACCGATCGGGCGGCACCGAGCTAAACGCCAAGTCCCGGGGGCGAAGCCCCGCGCGGCCAACAGCCGCAGCTCCGCCGCAGGAGCCCTCGCGCCGCCCCAGGTGCACGGAGCACACAGCCGCTACACGCGCACCGACGCACCTGCGCTGCTTTTCCCCGCAGGATGCGAAAAGCAGCGCCCTTCTGTAGCCCTGCCGCAGACGGGCTGACGGGAAGCCAGGCACGAGCGAGGAAGGAATCGCACCGCCAGAGCCGCCGCGCCCGAGGAGCGGCTCCTCCGCCCGGCAAGCGACAGCCCTCCCGCCGCCTCGCCCCCCGCGCCGTACCTCCTTGTAAGACGCAGACAGCTCCGGCCTCAGCATGGCATCGGCGCGAGGCGGCACGGCCGAACCCCGGCGCCCTGCCGTGCCGGGCCGCGCAGGCGCCGCGACGGCCCGCCGCGGGGCTGCTGGGAGGCGTAGTACGGCGCGAGGCGCGCCGCGGGGCTGCGGTTGGCGGCGAGAGGAGGGGCGGCGCCGCGCTCCTCTCCGCGGGCCGGGGCGGGGCTGGCGGCATGGCGGGCGGCGCGGCGGGGCGGCCGCTGCGGGCCGCGCTGCTGATGGCGGTGGCGGCGCTGGCGGCGGCCGAGCGGGAGCTGCGCTTCAAGGCGCCGCCGGCGGCCGAGGCGCCGGTGCGGCTGTTCACCGAGCCCGAGCTGGCCAGATACGACGGGCAGCAGGTAGGGGAGGCGGGGGCTGCCCGGCTGCAGGGCTGCGAGGCAGCCGGGGTCGGATGCCCGTCCCGCTGCGCGGCCTGGGGCTGCCGAAGCTCCGCGCTGAGCCCGGCGGACGTGCGTCGCTTCGTGCGCTGCTGCCTAGCGAGGTCGCTGAACTTCAGGCTAGAGAAACTTTCTCAGAATGATTCGTTAAACCAGACATTTAAGCAGTTTTTTTCTCCCCTCCGAGGTAATAAAATAACAAAGTAATTGTAACTTCAGAGTTCTTAGCTTTCTCTGAGACAGACAGAAGAGTCGGCAAAACTTCAAGGTGAGAAATTGCTGCATCAGTTGCAGTACAGAGAGATGCTTTCTCTTTTGACAGACAAGCTGGCCGGCTTTCCCCGGGCCTTCTCAACGTCCTCCCAAGAACTCAGCCGCTTGCACGCCTCAGGCAGGCAGACAGCAGCAGATCCCAGTTGTGTGTTAATCCCTTACTCTTTTAATCAAATAAAGAATGCTGTTTGCCTGCACCTTTTTATGTGGGGCAACATCCATCTGCACTACCAAGAGCAAGATGTAGAGACAGTGTGAAGCACAAGCAAGAAATGTCAAAGGAGAGAACAGGTTTGTTTGTATACACACAAACAGATTTCTGCAAAGTAAACAGTTTTCATCACTGTCAGTTCCAAAAAAAGGCATTGTGTTGTGAAACACAGCCATATGCTTCACGCACCGTAAAGCATTCAAGAGAAGGGCTGGGAGATGCAATGTTGGTGTTGGTCTTCTGATGGCACTAAGATTTTTTTGCAAGGAGCTGTTTGTGATGTAGGAGTGCACAGCCTTTCTTTACCTCCTTTGTAGTTCCTGACACCATTTTCGTTGTTGTTTCTTCTCTTTCTGCTGCACGTGGCCAGTAGCTGACACAAGGATACACGAGTAGGTGATATCTGAGAGCCTTCAGAATGGCCAGGTATGAAAATACCATGCACTGCATTGCCCACATACTCACAGATGTGCCATTTGTACCAGGTTGTTGACTACGGGCTACGTATTTACTGTGCACTGGATTGTAAGCTCCTTGAGAACAGACAAATAAGCATTTTATCTTCTCCTAAGCATGCTGAGTACTTACGGGTTTCATAGGTAAAAGTAATTATATTTTGCCTACTGTTAAGAATTGAGGACATATCAACTTCTTTCTTTCAGGAAGGACAGCCCATTTACCTAGCAGTGAAGGGGGTAGTATTTGATGTCACCTCTGGAAAAGGCAAGTTGAGTTTTCCTCTCCCGTCTGCTGTTTTTGTGCTATTGTTCAGTCATTTGTTTTCAGATGTCCCCACGCTATTAAAAACCCACAGTTCAATTGCAACAAAAAGAATATATGTTTTCTGTTTTTTAAAAAACTCAGTTTTCCTCTGCTGGTGCTAAGGTTGTTTCTAGGACGTATTCTGGTTTGCAGTTACTGCACACCCACAGATAACCCAGTGTAGCGCAGGCAGCTCAGGCTGATGGCAGAAATGCTGGAGACGTCTGCCTGGCTCCCCCTGTCCTTGTTGTCTTACTACTCTGGGCACATGAACTAGCCAGATCAAGGCTAACTTGGATGTGCCTGTATCGCATTGCACAGGGCTTTTTTTCTTTCAGCAGAAAGCGGAAGAGGAAACAGGAGGCTGTAAGATGTTTGAAGGCACCAAGGGTTCCTGGCCACTCAACTTAATGCCATAACAGGCCGTCATGGCTTGCTGCTGTGCTTGTCCTAAGCTTATATGCCTTGTTTGGGCATACATGTCTGATCTTCAAATCCTAAGTGAGACAAGGCTTGCAAATTCTGGAGTCTACAAACAGTCTATGAGAATATAAAGCACTGCTCCCTAAAATTTTGAGGCTGCAGCATTGGAATGCAGTGGCTGTGTTAAACTCCATCCTCTGCTTTCTGAGGACTGAGATAATAAAAAATCCTGGAGGGAAGAATCTTAGACTTGAGGTGACAATTTCAACTCACTAACAAGTGAAATAGGCAAGTTTTACGTTTGTTTTGTTATTGTTGTTTGACAGAATTCTATGGAAAAGGAGCCCCATACAATGCTTTGGTTGGGAAAGATTCAACAAGAGGAGTTGCAAAGATGTCTCTGGATCCAGCAGATCTTACTCATGACATAGTAAGAAATTGCCAATTAATTTTATTCCATCTTGCAAAATTTTATTCTTTTGCTTTGTGTGCTGCTAGTCAATGTACATGAAAAGCTCAGAAAGATGATGAATGATAACATTCAATTAACTTGTATGAGAATAGAACAGTTCAGTTGGAAGGGACAGTGGGTTGTTGCTCATTGTACATCTGGTTTACTTTTTCAAAAAAAGAAAAAAAAAAAAAGGTGATTAACAGTTTGTTTGACCTGAATATGTTAAAGTTTTGTAAGGCTGAATGAGAAGAAAGAAATTATAGGTTAGTCCATCAATTTAGTTAATCATGCTTTCCAAAATAAACCCAAAAGCTGAGCTTCAGACTCACAGTAATCAAAAGAAGAGAAAAATTAATTTTAATACCTATATTTTTATTTCTTTGACCCTATTTCATTTAGACAGGACTCACAGAAGAGGAACTAAAGTCACTGGATGATATCTTCAATAATGTTTACAAAGCCAAATATCCAATTGTTGGCTATACTTCTCGAAGAATTCTGAATGAGGATGGCAGCCCCAATCTAGACTTTAAGCCTGAAGATCAGCCACACTTCAACATTAGAGATGAATTTTGATAAACATTTTTGTACTTGGAAAATGCTTGGGGAGAAGCATGATATATTTCCTGAAAGGCACAACACTACTGTACTGTATATGTATACACATCTATATTTTCTGAACAGAAGACTGATTGATGATAGCTAATATTTGTAATGAATAACTGAAAATATGAAAGAAACCAGATCTGTATTAGTGGCGTATATACAGGATCTTTGCTCTGAATGGTGGGAATTTTTTGATGTTTTTGAAAGTTCTTTCTGCTTGTATTTCTTTGTTTGCAAGTACATTATGTAAAATTACATTTCTTAGCAGAGAAAAGAAAGCCTTTAAGGGTTGAAACATGAATGTTTTTTTTTTGTGAATCCCAAGTTGTTTTTCATTCTTTGGAAAAGCAATGCATTATCTGGATGAGCAAACATTAATTCTCTGCTTCATGAGTATTGGCCCCATGTGTATTTAAGGAGGTGTAATAGATGCTTGTATTTTAAAAGGCATCATGGGTTTAGTATATGATAGGTTTGAGAAAACTGGATATAAAAACATTCACTCATTCACTCTCAAAACATAATTACAGTAGAATATTTGTGTAAAGCCTACAGGAAAAATACGTGTTTTCTCTCCATGAGAACTACTGTGATACTTTTTCTTTCTTTTTTTTTTTTGAAAAAAATATATCATCTATATTAGATTATTATGATTTCCTTTTAGCTTCCTGCACTCTTTCTCTCAAACAAAAAGGAAATCATCACCTACTTTTAGGTGATGTTTACCACATACTCTTACAGCCCAAGTTTGTTAGAGTATTTTAGAATCCTTCACATTGACAATTTCAAGTCTCATTTTTAATTTCTGTTAATTTTTCTTTGTTTTTACACTGGCTTCATCATTGCTGTTGTTGCAAAGAAATATGCTTTCATGTGTTGTTTTTCCTTTTAATCTACTATAAACCTCCAGCTCCTCAAGGGCAAAAACACAGTAAAGCAAGAGGACAGTATGAGTGTGCACTTTATAAATTGCTGCTGACCACTGACTTCTAGTAACTGAAGAGGACTGTAAATTGTCACATGTGGATTTTTTCTATCACTGCAAAAGGTTGACTTGTCATGGAAAAACTGAGCATCTGCTCCCACTTCCTCAAAGATGTTTTCTTCTGTTTCTTTAGCATTTTGGCTGTTTTTTTGAAGGGAATGTATTTAGATGATTCTCCACTTTAGGATTTGGATGTTGTGCCGTGAGAAAGGATCTGCTGCCTGTCAGTTATAGAAAGTGTTCCTACTTTTTTATATATATTCTTATTTTCACAGTGCTACTGATTTTACTCTTGTTTTGTATGTTATCATTACACCAGTTACTAAGCCCCAAGGGTTCCACAGAGTCCATTCTGTTTGTTGGTGCTCTGGGGTGAAAAAGTAAGTTTGCATTTATGAAATAAATACCACTTCAGATGGTTGGTTTTGTTTTACTGTCATTATTGTAACTGCTAACTTTTTGATTATACACCACCAGCAGTAGCTGGGAGTTGGCTCCTTTATGTAATACCTGCCATTTTTATGGGAGTACATGTCAACTCATTGATAATGGCTGCTGTTCTTCTACCAGCAGTTCTTCCCTTCTCCTTCCAGTTTACTTACAGGCGAGGCTGCAGTAATTGGGCTGCTGTGATTACTATCACATTATTGCTTTATCTAGGATGAGTTTATCCACCAGTAATTCCTAGATTTTGTAGCTAGATTGTAACCTATGGCTTAACGTTATAATTTTCTCCCTGCTTTTTCCTATTAATGCTGATCTCAATGCAGGTAATTCATCAGCTCCCACTCATACTCAAATTCAGATGCATTTTGGTGAAGAAACATCCTGTTGCAACAGGAAATGGTTGATACAAACTCCACTTTTAGTGTGAGATCCTTGTGGATCCAACCTATCTTTATGTCTGCAAACTGAGGGGGATACTCCTGTCCTTCCCTTCTGTTACTGACAAGAATGGTATCACAAATGAAATGAGTGCATTTTGGAATGCAAAATGTTTCCTTTTTGTTTTCATTTTGTTTTGGGAACTAAAGCACTTGCTTATACTTCTCAGGCTCTTTGAGGTTCCCACTCAACAGAACAGCATTATGGCAATAAGCCTTTATGCAAACATAGGTCCTCAACTACTCTTATTTAATGTATTCAGAGTACCACAATATTTCTTTCAGTATTAATCTGATGACGCTTTGATTTTTAAGGTTGTTACTTGTTTTGCTTACAAGCAAACTGGTATTGTGTTGTTCAGTCAGTTGCATTTCCCTGACCTCTGCATTATTCCAGTAAGACAACTGCCCCCACTATCTGTAAGCTGCAGTCAAAACAAGCACACTGTGTAAAGCCCCGCTGTAGTCCAATTACTACCCCACAGCTCCTTTGGAGGGTGATTAATTTCTTGCATTTCTTTCATTGCAAATGCCAATATTTTTGCTGTGCTGCTTCTAACCTGCATCTTGCTGATTTCACATGCGTGTTTTAATGATCTGAGGTTTTAATGGATAGCTGCAACAAAATACCTTATTTTAGTATTTAACAATAGTCTACTTTTCAGAACATTAATAATTATGAAATTATTTGGGCTTATAGGGCTTGTCACTTACTGCCATTCAGTGGGATTCAGCTGCACATGCGTAAGATGTGCTAAGTCATGGTGATTCATATTTGCATATTTTCAGATGAATACTGTGTATCCTCAGGAATACCTTAAAATTCCTACAACTGATGTAAATGGTACAGTTACACACTTTGCAGTTCATCATCCATGTATACTATTGCTTGAAGTTTTTGTGTCCATTCAGGAAATAATACAGAGCCACACAGCTGAGATAACAGATGAACGTAACACGAGGAATACTGAGATAAAGTAAAATGCATGTAAGCCCATAACCTGAAAGCTACTTACGCTGTCTAAGGAACTGATAGTTTCAAAGATTTTGTCTGTGTATGACTTGATTAAAACAAAGAAAGACCCCGAACTTTTAGATTTGTAATAAGTATTTGACTCAGAGCCCTATCTGTGAATGCTGATAGCTGCAGACATAATATAGGATGTATCTGACTACTTTGAGAGAAAAATCAGTGCTATATCAAAATGTGATTTTTCTTCACTCAGAAGTCTCGAAGTATACGACAGGTGAACATTACTACTAGAAGTACTCTAACAGCATAGGCATTATTTTGATCTCAGTGTCTTGACAAAACAAAAAACAAAACACAAAAACAGTCAAAAACCTTACACAAAAAAAAACTAACCCCGACAATAATAGAGGTATGAAGTAAGAACACATCTTAGGGTGGTACTGGGGCAATCTATACTGGAAAGGTAGATTTGGCAAAGCAGTACATGCAGATCTGGTAAGAGACAGGGGTTCCCATTTTTATTTCAGTCAGATGTGGTCAGTGATAACAGTGTGAGCTTATAGCCTGTCTGTTGATATTTACACAGCTTCCTTTGTTTTTTCTTCCTTTTCAGTCAGAGGTGCAAGTCCTAATTTACTTGTTTACAAAACATACGCTCAGATCTTCTTGGCTTGGGTTAGCTGTTGCCAAGAAATCCACAATAATTAACTTTCTATTAAAAATAGAACTCCGCACCTAGATTAACTGCAGAGCCACAGGATGTACTCCTGAATAAACAATTCCTATTACTGTTTCCCACAGGTTATTTGTAGCTGCCACAATCAGAAATTCTGCCCTGTAATGAATATTTCAGATTACTGTTCTCTGTCCTGAGCTTGACACCAGCCTTAATCTTTCTGACATGAGACATGATCCTTCTGAGAAGTTAAAAGTTTAGAAAAATCTGGGTAAAAGCCATGTTAGAGATAAGCCATCCAAGAAAATCAGAATATGAGATTGTTATACTTCTTGGCATGTCTCCTTGGGCTTTCTGAGATTACACCACCACCAATAGTAGATTGATGGTAAATAGTCACGTGTACTGAATCTAAACAGTCCTAACATGTAGGAATGTTTGAAGGTAGAGCTGAACTTAAAGCCTTGCAGCCCTACTTTTCCAGACAGGAGAGTCTTTGAATAACAAAGGCCTACAGGTAGCATTTGCTTCAGTCTGTAAAGGAAAGGGTGCCTTCTTTTCTGGTACTCAGGCAGACAGAATTAGATGATGATTAAAGTGAAAATGTCCCTATGTGTTATTCTATGCTCTTTTGCAGAAATAGTAAATTCAGTAATGTTGGATATGCAGAGTATTATTGCCAAGACACCAACCCACTATGCCTGAAGGATAACTTTATAGATTAAACTCATAACTGGTCAAAAGGAGCTGTGGCAGATCAAGAGCAACCTAGGAGACTGCAGCTACCTAACCTTTACTTAAAATTGAAAGGTTCTTTTGGTAACGATCACAGATAAATGCTGAGTAATTTCATCTCATTCTACATTTAGCCCGTTGTTACTTTTTATGTTTGAGCTAAGCTCTTACAGGCAGTCTCGTTGAAAAATCTAAATATTGTTACACAAAACGTATAGTGTTAATTTTGAACAGCAGCACTGTGCAGATGTAGTTTAAAAATGAATGCTTTGCAGGAATGTTTTAGGAGTATGTGATGAGTCTCTGGGATTCTGTGCACTGATTATCACATGTGTCTTTAAGTTGCTGCTGCCAAGGATAAATACTTCCTTCCCAGTTCTCTGAATGGCCTCCTTTGAGACTGGTATGTCTTGGAGCTGGAAGAAAACAGGCTATTGAAAGGTTAACATGTGTAGCAGCAGTACATCAGCGGGGTACAACAATCCGCAGCAGAGAAGGAAGGTGAGCGAAATTCTTCTTATGGAAAGCAGCAGGAGGTTATAAATAACTCACAGGAGAGCACAGTTTCAGAAGTGGTGAAACCTGCTGATGCACTCAGAGAAAAGGTTGAACTAAAGAATGGAAAAGCGTGACATCCCCCTTGGATGCAGTTCTGGGAAATTCAGCAGTTTGTGGCTGTTGGCTCCTTGCTTGACACCCTCAGTCTCATTTTCAAAAACATGCAGGCGTATGGCTTTGATACCTTGCCAGTGCCTGGATTCACAGCAAATCACACAGGTGCTATTCAGCCCACAACTTAGCAATTCTTCTCCTTTCATCTTCAGAAGACACCTACTTTAGTCGAAGAAAGAAGGCTGCAGTTTTCCTGACCAGGGACACAGAGATCGAAGTGCAGTGCTCCACTACAGCTCTGCAAGTTGCAGGTTTCCTGTCTGTTAAATGAACTCATGCTTCCCTCGAATTCCCTTTGCTGTGTTGGAGCTTTCAGCCATTTGAAGAAGGTAACGTC